GATAGGTATTTACTACTGTCATTTGATAATCACTTACTTTTTTGGTGAAAAAAGAAAGGAGTCTTTATTCAAAAGCTACCAAATTTTGGAATAACAGCTCTCTACATGCATTAGTCACCTAAGCCTATCAGATACTTTAACTTTTGAGCACCAGCTTTAATCACTTTCCCTTATCATTTCCCCTGTTAGTTTTTAATTATCATATTTCTATAAGATTAGTTTACAAACTAAAAAAAGCATAAGATACAGAAGCTACACAATGTTGGAATAATGGCCAACTTCTGCCTCAGAGCCCATGTCCTGTAGAACACCCAAAGGAGAATAATCCTGCCACCCTCTGCCAGGCCAGACCAGCCCAAGGCTGTGACCAGTTTCTTCTCCCATTTAAAATACTGTCCTTTGGGAAATGCAGGCAGCTGCAACATGACCATCCAGGCATCCCCGAAGAAAAGCAAGAGCCAATTCTTTTCCTTCTGCTTTGCTGTTTGGTGAATTTTGTAGTGATTTGCTTTGATTATTTTTCTCTTTACCTTCAATTATCTATTATAGTTTTTTTCTTTGTGGTTAGCCTAAGGCTTGTACAAAATATCTTGTAGTTATAACCATCTCTTTTAAGTTGATAATAACTTCAATTTCATACAAGACTATACTTTTACTTTCTTATCCCCACATTTTGTGTTCTTGTAGTCAGAGTGCCTCTTTTTATATTGTGTACCCATTAACAAATTTTTACCTTTTAACTTATATATTAAGGTTAAGTGTTACTCATGTACCACCATTACAGTGTTACTTTATTCCGTATTTGTCTATGTGTTTACTTTGCCAGTGACATTTATGCTTTCTTATGCTTTTGTATTGTGGGTTAACATGTTTTCATTTCAACTTGAACTCCCTTAAGTCTTTCCATAAGGCAAGTCTAAATGAACTATCTTAATTTTTATTTCCTAGGAAAGCTTTTATCTTTCCTTCATTTTAAGCATAATTTTGCCAGACATAGTATTCTTGGTTGGCAGGGTTTTTTCTTTCAGTACTTTGAATATATCATCCTAGTCTCTTCTGGTCTTCAAGGTTCATGATGAGAAATCTGCTAATAATCCATATGAGTTCACTTACATGTGAATAGCCACTTTTGCTGATTTCAAAATTCTTTTTTCCTAAAAAAATATCTCTTTTAACCTTGATTTTTGAAATTTTGATTATACTATGTCTCTGTATAGTTTTTGGGGGGAGATCAATCCTATTTGGGAATTTTGGGCTTCATAAATCTGAATGTACACCTCCTTCCCAAGATGTGGAAAGTTTTCAGCCATTAATTCTTTAAACAAACTTTCTTCTCCTTTTTCTCTCTCTTCTTTGGGATTCTATAGTGCATAAATTAGTTCCTTGATGATGTTCCTCAAGTCCCATAGGCTTTCGCACTCTTTTTCATTGTATTTCTTTTTTGTCTTTTGACTGGATAATTTCCCCTATCTTCAAGTCCACAGATTCTCTGCTTGATTGAGTCTGCTTTTGAAGAGTTCTACTGAAATTTTTATTTTATTTACTGTATTCATTAGTCAAGAATTTTAATTTTTTTCAGACTTCTCACTTTTTTGAACTTCTATTTTTGTTCATCTATTTTTTTATTGAGTTTGTCTATCTGTTCTTTTGTAGCTTTCTGAACTTCTTTAAGACAATTATTTTGAATTCTTGTCAGCCAGTTCATTGCACTCTATTTTTTTGGAATCAACTACTGAAAATGTATTATATTCCTTTGGTGCTGTCATGTTTTCTTAATTTTTTCACATTCCCTGTAATATTGTATTGATGTCTATGCATTTGAAGGAGCAGTCACTTCTTCTAGATTTAATGTGTTAGCTTCCATAGGAAAAGTCCTTCACCTATTGGTGGATATGAAGATGCAGTGACTCTTGTTCTGGGGGAGCACAGTGGTATAGACTTCAGGTAGCTCCATCAGCTTATGTCAGCACTGGTGAAGATGCAATCATCCTTGGCAGTAACACTACAGGTGTCTGTGGCAGTGGTGAGGGATGCTGTAGTTCTCATTGGCTAAAGCTTCTGGGAGCTTCCTGCTCTCCTTTTCTACCACAGGAGCAGTCCAAGCCAAGGAGATCCTTCATGGTGCTAGAGTCTGGGGTGTATGTCTGGTGGCGCTGAGACAGGAGAGTGGCTATGGCCCCAAAGTGGATTAAATGACAGTTCTGTCTACAAGGAGGCAAGGCATCATAGATATAGGCAGCTCCATCTCTGGAGTTAGTGTTGGCAAAGGTCCTCAGTTTCAAAAGCTGCAGGTGTCCACGGTGGTGAAGGCTGCTAGGTCCTTCCTGCTCCTCTTTGTCCAATATGGGGAAGAAATGGCCAAGGGGATTTCTTTTCATGCTGAGCTGTGCCAAACTGAGGGATGGAGTGACACATGTAAAAATGCTTTCTATGTTTTTTTCTGAGGCCATCTTGGGCTTGTTTTGTCTTTGTTTTGGGGATTTTTTTGAGGGAAGGGAATGGGGGCATGATGTTTATTGAACTTTTCCTCCAGAGAGGAAATAATGTCTGTACAAAACCATACATTTGTTACTATAACTTCTGCATCATCATTGAAATCTAAACAGTTTAAGAAAAAACAGTCAACTCAGTCAAAACCCACTACTTTAAAATCAATAGCTTCTTTGAAGCTGCAGTAACATTTAAATATGGTTAAGACTGGAATGCAGAAATTTGGTTGGTTGGAAAGCTAATTAAACTTCTAACTTGCTCAAATAGAATTACAAAAAGGTAAAATTTTGTTTTTCACAGAGATGCAGTCCACTGGAATCACAACACTGGACAGTTGTTAGTGAATTAAGAGTTCTGAGGTAATAAGAAATCAAGGCATCCTTTAAACAGTCTTCTGTTCTCCTTTCTTTCCAGTTAGAGATTTGTGGATGAGTGCAGTGACATCACTACTAGCAATTTTCGCCTTGAATAGCCTTGTATCTCTATGAATAGCACTTTGCAAATGACAAAGAGTAATATGCTTTACCTTTAAGTCTTTTGATGCATTTTCTGCCAATTCCAGTACCTCTGTGGTGAGGTACTCCAGATTGTTGCATTGTATACAGAAGCAGTCATGCCCACAGGCCCATGACTGGTCATCCTAGATTTCATGTGTCGATAAAGACAGCCCACCAGAAACTGCAAGCTGTCTCTCTGCTAGCAGGAAATCTGAGTCCTTCCCAGCCTTACTGTCAGCTAGTTCTGTTAGTCGGACACCCAGCAGGATCCCCCTGCCTACTCCATCGCACCCTGTCTCAAACTGCCAGGGCCATCTTGGTTTTTGTGTTCCACTGTTTGCTGCAGCTTCATCATTGTACTCCAAAGCTCACCCCTGCAAACTATTTTTATCAATGAATAATTGTTAATTTATTGTTTTTGTGGAAGGGTGAAGCCTGGGACCTCCCAGTCCTCCATCTTGTTGATATCACTCACTTTAAAATATAAATTTTGCCATAAGTGGTCAAGTCAATGATGCAAACAATAACATTATTTGATCAATCATACTATACCTATGACTCTACTTCCAAACCACTGCATAGATCCAGGTCTTCTTCCCAAAACTTCAGGGAGACTATTCTCACACCTACACAGTCTCCTTAAAATCAGTAGGTCCAAAAACAGATGTCATGAACTTCCCCTTCAAGGCTGCTTCTCTTTCAGAATGCCAGAACTTAGTCAACAGCTTTCCCGTCTACCCAGCTGAGCATAGCAGCAATCTCCATTGACTCTTCTCTGTCTCTAATGCCCCAAATTTAATGCACTATCAAGTCGAGTCCATTTTACCTTTTAGATATCTCTTGAACACATCTCAGTGCCACTGCCATTGTCTAGGCTTCCTTTACCTCTGAATTGGACCACAGAAACAGCCTTCTAACTGGCTCCATGTGCCCTCTCCTGCCTCTCTCCAGGTTATTCCTTCTCCAGCAGTCTAAGTGGTCTTTACAAATTTCATCTGATCACATTCTTTTCTTGATTCTTGATAAAGTTCCAAATCTTTAAGGGCTTACATGAAACTCCATGGCACACCCTACCTACTCCTCTGGCATCTTTTATTGCCACGGGACTCCTAGATTCCTCCATTCCAGCCATTCTGTGTGTCTTTCAGTCCTTCAAATATCCACGCCACTTCCCATATCTGAAACTTTGCACAAGCTGCCTCCCTCCCTCACATGTCCTCTATCTCCATTTACGTAACTCCTGTCCATCCTTCAGGGCTCAACTTAAAGAATACTTTGTCAGGGACGCTCCCTTGACTTTCGAAAATAGGTCTGGTTAATCTTCCCTGTGCTTTCACAGCACTTTGCACTTTTTTCCATTGTTGAATTTAGTTATTCATAAGTATTTGTTTAACGTTTATCTTCCTTACTAGAATGCATGTACCATAAAGACATTAATATATCCGTATCATTCATGGTTGTATGCTCAGTGCCTTGCCAATGCTGAACACATAGTCAAGCCTTAATAAATAGTCACCAACTGAGTGATTCAAAAACAGCTCTTCCTAGTTAAGGATTCAAATGCAATTCACAGTTATAACCTAAACATGAATAGTCCCTCATATTTGTTAAGCCTTTTGTTAAGCTTTTTGATTTTTTCCCCATATTATAAAGCTTTTTATGTTAACTGCACTTCTTTCTTCCTCCTTTTCCTCTTCCCAGTGACGTGTCATAAATTGTATTTTTATTGGGTGAGGCCCAGGCAATCTCCCTGTTTATAACTCTGACCTTTTTATGAGCAAACACACAAAATGAACTTTGGTTTATCTCCTACCATAATGTAGCTGCTAATTACTGGCAAGCAGGCTGTGTTCTATGGCCCACGTGACCAGTGAGGTATGGCCAGAAGGGACAGGGTGGAAGAGTGGACTGAGGGACCCAGCTAGAGGCTGTCTAGCTGGAGTTCCTGTCTCCCTAAAAGCCCGGAGTAAAGCAACTGAGCCCAAGGAGTATGGTTCTGAAGTGAATGAGGTCATGAAGACACCACTGTTGGGCTTGGTTTTGTGGTCAGTGCTTCTCTGTCCAGGAGTGATAATTGAGACCACCCAGGTGAGACGGAACTGCAGAATTGGCAACTACCAGATCACTGTCCTGATGATGGACAACTCGGCCTTCCCAGAGTCCCATGAGAACCTGAAAGATGCAGTGAACCAAGGATTGGAAATAGTGAGAAAGCGTCTAATTGATAACGGTAAGAATTTGCTAACAGGGTCCTCCTCCTCCCTGTTACAACCTTTGGGGTCAGAGCATTCCTAAATGAAGGCCTTGGGTTCTTTGTCTGATTACCAGCTTTCTTTAAGGCTCTGCCCCGCAACGCCTTCCTATTTGAAGGAGCTACATTCTCAGACAGAAGGATTTGTCACTCATAGTCTGCCCTGCTCTGGGAATGGCCTGACTCAGGGAATGCCAGGTGTTTACAGCAGTGAAATGCCCCAGATAGCATTGCAATAAAAACCTGATTTACTACTCAGTTCCAGGAAGGCATCATGTTTCCCCCTTCAGCTGCTCGGAGGTAAGATTTGGTCTGGACGTGAGATTTCCCAGGTTTCCCAGTCAAGAAGATGAATTAACAGATTCAAATTAATACAGATGCTGAATCTTTCTCTGTGATTTTTTTAATCCATCTGTTCACTCTTTACATCTTTGGTGGTTATTATTATAAGACATAGTCGATATAATAAATTTCCAATCAAATTCATCATTGCAGTTCTTCATTATATCTTTTAATTATTAAAATAAACTATAACATTAGAGAAGATATATAGAATAAAATACGTAAGATATGAGAAAAATCACCCCTGATAATTTCTAGCAACCTGAATATTTCTTGTGTCTTTAAGTGCTTCTCAGTTTCTTGTTTTTTAAGAACATAGCTGGGATTACTATAAAGTAGAAACAATTTTCTACCCTTCTAATTTCACTTTATATTATTCTACAAGTGACTGCCTAATAGTTGAATAATCTTCATAGCATCATGAGACTAGATGTGTAATATCCTTTGGAGTAGATATTCTCCTAAATCATTGAATAATTCCCTGTTGTAAGATAGTCCATTATTTTTCATTTCTCATAATTATTTTAAAAATACCACCCTAAACATTTTCATGTATGTATCAATAGTTTTTTGTTAGTTCTTTGAGACTAGATTGCCAGAAGTACAATTACCAAGTCAATGCTATTTGATGCATCTTAATGGTTATTTATGGTCTTGAGGAGGGTATGTCCTAGTTTTCTCTATTTAAAATGGCCTGGTAATAACAGGTATTATATACCACATATGTGTAATAAATTTCTTTTGTGTGATATACACTTCTTCAATCCTGTCTGAAGCTGAACTCAGATGTAAATAGAGAAACTAGGTCACTTAATGAAATCCCCTATTTACTGAGGCAGCATGTAGTAATGGAAAGAACACTTGATTTAAGTGTTCTTTGGAGTCCTTGTTGAGCCTCCTTGTCACCATGGGTGAGTGATATTCCTTTGTTTCTCTGAGTCTTGGTTTCCTTGTTTATTGAATACCTGTCATGTACTAGGTAAGATATATAACATCTTTAATCACAGCTCTGTAAGACTGGCATTGTTGATACTTTCACAGTGGAGGTTTAATAACTTTGCTGAAGTCATACAGGTTGTCTGTTTAAAATGAGATTCAAACTCTTATCTGTCTAATTCCAAAGAGTGTATCTTGCCATACTGTAAGATCTTTACTTACCATGAACTAACTTTCTCATTAAAATAAAACAGTGGAACATTGTGGCTAGAAATAAAAATTTGGAATCAAACAGATCTTGGTTCATATTCTAGCCTTTTATCCAACCACTTATCACTGGTGACATCAAGGAAATATTTAAGTTTTCTGACTTTCATTCTCACCTATAAAATTACAATAGATAATAGTTACCTCATGTGGGTATGGTGTGAATTAAATGAATAAATTCCTGTAAAGTACCTACTACACGAACTGAACATAGTAAGAACTCAATAAATGCCAGTTGTTTTGGTTGTTGTCACTGTTATTGTTGTTCTTGAGGATGTTAGTATTGTAGTTGTTGCCAAGTTGTTGCTACTGTTAGTAGAACAAGTTACCAGGCATGTAAAATAAACAATGTAGAGTATTGGTACAATCTTGATCTCTGAACTCATATAATCTGGATGTAAATTCCTGATCCATCATTTACTAATTGAATGAGTTATTTATTCTCTCGAAGTTTCATCTCATTTGTAAAATTGTTATTAATGGTGAGGCTGTTGAATAGATTAAATGAGTAGAGAATTTTAAGGGGAAGAAAACAATAAAAAATTATGCTCAAATTTTTGCATTTGGTGATGCATTTTGTTGGATGGATGTTCATGCATAGTAAACTCAAGAAGTGCAAGTTGTAAGGGAAAGATAGGTTCATGTTTTAAACATACTGAGCATTGTCATTTGGAAAAAATTCTAAGACAATATACTGAAGGGCTAAATAGAAGAAAATTAAAAGTTCAAATGTCATGGATGATGTCTAAATAGATGAGATCAATATTTTTTCCTAGTACTTAGGAAATCTTCATGAATGTTGAAAATAGATAGGATTTGATGGAAAACATGAAAAAAAGATTCCTTCAGTCTTACATTGACTCCTCAAGGTTGTGTGTTCTGTGGCTAAACACATCGAGTCCACGCCTTCTGCGTACTCCCATGTGCTGAGGGGGGACCACCCTTCCTAGACTCAGACACTATATCCAGATTCACTTTGGTACAACCCCACCCTCAAAGCTCTAGATAGAAGATAGACAGTCTGAGATCACCCTGTATTTTATGGCATTCTACTAGTTCTCCCAGGACTGAGATACTATGGTACAGTGGGAGTGCAGGCCAGAGGAATGAGAAATTGGGCTTGGGGAAATTACTTATTTTAAAAGTTAAGCTTTGGTTTGTCATTCTATGGAAGCCATTCTATTTTCTGAAAAATGTTTAATATTTTCTTGAAAGACCTTTTGACATTTGGGGTAATAAAAGGGATTAAAAAAGAAACAGTTCACATAACCATAAGTTGTTGAGAGGCAGCATCATACTGTAGTATGTTCTATAGAAGTGGCTCTCAAACTTTTGGTCTTAAGACTTCTTTATACTCTTAACAATAATTGTGGACTCCGAAGAGCTTTATTATGCAGTTATAATTATCAGCATTTATTGTATTGGAAATTAAAACTGAGAAATGTTTTAAATATTTGCTTATTGATTCACTTAAATAGCAACTATAGACACTTTATCAGTTACCATAAATAAGATTTCTGAGTGAAGAAAACCTATCTTTGTCAAATCCAAAAAAGTAAAAGTAGGTGCAGAGAATGGTATTGATTTACATTTTTGCAAATATTTAATGACAAGCTTAATAGAAAATAGCTGTATTTTTATATCTGCTTCTGTACTTAATGTGTTGCAATAAAAAATATTTCATAGCCTCTAAAAAACTCCACTATATGCTCATGAGTGAAGGAGGGTGGAAAAAAATTTTTAATGTCTTAATATAAATACAAGTATATTTTTGACCTCCTGGACCTCCTGAAAGGCTCTCAGGGTGCCTCAGAAGTCAGTGGTCCACACTTCAAGAACTGCTGTCCTCTACACCAGATTAATCAGGTTCTAGAATCAGAGTGCCCTGGGTTTAAAACCCAGCTCCACTCCTTGCCAGTGTGTAATCCTAAGCAAGTTTATTGATTTCTCTAGACCTCCATTTTCTCATTTTTAAATTAGGAATGTAAATTATAGATTAACCTCATAGGATTAAGGAGAGAATTTAAAGAAATAATGCATGCAAAAATCCATAGCCCAATGCTAAGCACATAGTAACAGATTATCCAATTTTATTCTATGAACAAATGGGTGAGAAACTGGGGCCCCAGAAGTAAAAATCACTCGTCCGAGTTCACACTCTGTAAGATGTTGGTTCCCCTTCTCCCATACCCTGTGCAGTATTTATACTTGAGTTTTGCCATGTTTGTCATGGACTGCCTTGACCCTAAGATTTTTAAATAGGTCATCTTCAGTGATCTCCATAGCAACAGATGGTTGATGGGAAAGAGCTAGCTTATACATTAACAGCAAAAGTGTGACCATCTTTCCAACGCCCCATTATCATCATGTGACTGTGCACGGGCCTCCACTTCATTCCCTGAATCCTATTGCTACTTTCCAAGACCTTCTCCACCCCAGTTTTCTATTGCTCCCCGACATGCACTCTCCCATTCCTCTAGGTCCACCACAGCCTGACTCACACTATTTTCCTGGTTTCATATATCCTATGTTCTCCTTGTTGTTAAGAGAATTAACTAAGATAAAGGATATAAAGGGCTGGCACATGGTCACTGACCCCACATCTTCTATTAACTCACTCTGACTGGTCTTATTAAACTAAACTCTGCTATTTGGCTAGTCTTACTGAACAAAACACTGTCCTTTCACCTCTGATTTAGATCTCTCACTTAAAAAGTAAAGATAAAATGCTCCCTAGTTAGTAGGCACATCTCTGAGGTGGCTGTAGAAGTGCAAAGACTTTCCATTTTCTGAAGGAACAGGTCTGTGCCTGTATCTTTTAAAATACTCTAATTTGGTGGTCTAGTTTCTTCTTCCTTTTTTTTGTTTTGTTGTTGTTGTTGTTGTTGTTGTTGTTGTTGTTGCATATAGCAGTCTAGTTCTCCCAATACCATTTACTGAAGAGGATATTTTTACTATTGTATGCTCATGCTCTCTTTTTCAAATATTAATTGGCCATAGAAACATGGGTTTATTTCTGGACTCTCTATTCTGTTCCATTGATTTATGTGTCTGTTCTTATGCCAATACCAGACTGTTCTGATTATAGGGACCTTGTGATATAGTTTGATATCAGCTATTGTGATCCCTCCTACTTTGTTCTTGTTTCTCAAGATTGCTGAGGCTATTCAGGGACCTTTTTGTTTCTATCACCAAAATGAAAATGGAACTGACCATACAGGAGAACATATTTGCCAATGATACATCAGACAAGGGTTTGATCTCTGAAATATATAAGGAACTCATACAACTCCACACTAGGAAGACAAACAATCCAGTTAAAAAATGGGCAAAGGACCTGAATAGACACTTCTCCAAGGAGGACATACAGATGGCCCATAGACATATGAAAAGATGCTCAGCATCAATAGCCATCAGAGAGATGCAAATTAAAACCACAATGAGATATCACCTGGCACTTGTCAGAATGACCATCATTAATAAATCAACAAACAACAAGTGCTGGTGAGTATGCAGAGAAAAAGGAACCCTAGTTTACTGTTGGTAGGAATGCAAACTGGTACAGCCACTGTGGAAAACAGTATGGAATTTCCTCAAAAAACTAAAAATGGAACTGCCTTTTGACCCAGTGATTCCACTGCTGGGGATATTCCCTAGGAATCCCAAAACACCAATTCAAAAGAATTTATGCAGCCCAATGTTCACAGCAGTGCTATTTACAATAGCCAAGATTTGGAAACAGCCTAAGGGTCCATCAGTAAATGAATGGATCAAGAAATTGTGTTATGTTTACACAATGGAATACTATGCAGCATAAATAAAGAAGGAATTCCTATCATTTGCGACAGTTTGGATGGAACTAGAGTATACTAGGTTAAGTGAAATAAGCCAGTCGGTGAAAGACAAATACCATATAATCTCATTTATAAGAAGAATCTAATGAACAAAATAAACTAACCAACAAAATAGAACCACAGGCACAGAAACATGGAACAGCCTGACAGTGACCAGAGGGGAGGGGAGGGAGATAATTGTGGAAAGAAAAGAAAGGGGCTAGTCAAAGAACATGTATGAATGACCCATGGACACATGGACAACAGAGTGGGGTTTGACTGTGGGAACAGGGGTGGGATGGGCAGAGGAGGGCAAGGGGGGGAAAATTGAGACAACCATAATAGAATAACAATTTTTTAAAATAAATAAATAAAATATTCTAATTTGGGTCTTGATTGGCATGGCTCAGTTGGTTAGAGCATTGTCCGGTAACCAGAAGACTGCGGGGTTTGATTCCCAGTCAGAGAACATAGACAGGATGCAGTTCTATCCTTGATCCTGGCACGTGCAATTTCCAGTCCTGGCATGTATGGGAGGCAACAAATCAATGCTTCTCTCTCACCTTGATGTTTCTCTCTCTCCTTTCTGTCTCTATTACTCTCTCTCTAAAAATGATGAGAAAATATCATTGAGTGAGAATAAAAATAAGTTAAAATATTCTAATTTGGATGTCCAGAAGAACAATAACTTTTTTTTTTTGCTGATAGTCTCTTTAATGGAATTAAAAATTATTACATTTGAAAAACCTGGTTTTAATTCCATTTTACATGTGAGTGAACCACACAGAGAAATTAAAACGGCTTGTGCAAGGCCACATAAAGAGTCCACTCATGCGGCCAGATTAGCAGCTGAGGTTTCCAGGCTTCCTATATAAGGGTTTCACAAAATTAAGGACACCTCTGCTTAGGTATCAAGGATGTGTCCTAAATATTTTTTACGGAAAGGAAAACAAAATGCAAAAGAAGGTATTTGATCAAATGGTTCTGCTCTCTCTTTACTGCCTTCCAAAATGTGATGCTTGACAGTACTCAGGGATATTAGTATCGATGCTCGTGTCTCAACGGAAGATGATCTGTTAGTCAAAGGTCCTGGGCCAGATGGGTGGGCACGGTTCACTTTGGCTGTCGTTGCTTTCCTAACACTTCCAGACCCATACAGGAAACTAGCTGAGTTGAGAATTATTAAAATAGGATGAAGAAAATGAATGTTTTAAAACCAAATTATGGGATTATATGTATAATATATACCCTAAATATATATACATATAAATATATATACTGAAAATCATTAAATTGTATGATCAAAATGAATGATTTTTTATGGGGGTAAATTATATACCTCAGTAAAGCTGCTGAGAGAGAGACAGACAAAAGCAGAGAGACAGAGACAGAGTGAGCAAAGCAGTGACAGGGACTAATGTAAGAACTCAGAACTCAAATAGTCCTAGGCCTGAAACTGGATCTCCATAGTAAAGGATACATTTTATGTCAGGTATAAACTACTGAAAAATAACACAAGTTTTCTCTGTTTCTCCTTCTGAATAACAGGCATAAATGAGACTGTGGATGCTTCCTTTATCTCTTCAGAGGGTATGATTTATAGGTCAAGTGACTGCCGGAGTAGCACCTGCGAAGGCCTTGAGCTCCTCAGGAAAATTTCAGTAAGTATCTGCCTTTGCAGATATAGCTCACACCCTCTTGTCAGAGGACAGCCGTAGTGGGAAGCTTGGGTACCTGTCCATGAGCATCTGTCATGTCATCTCTAACCATGCAGCTGAGTGATGTAAATGGAGGATACTCTAACTTTATCCCTATATATTTCCCAAGTAATGAGGGCCCTCCAGGAATCCAGGGAAGTGGGAAAACCTCAGCTATGTACTATCTTTACACTTTCAGTGGTATGGAGGGGAATTATTTTGTTTTTAAAACTTAAAAAAAAATTTAAATGTTGGTATAAACTGGTGTGCCTTTGGGTCCCTCAAGAAATACTTGGGGTATTCTGTTAAAAATATATTCTAAAGCCCTACAGCAGAGACCTCTATCTCAAGTCATCACCATATATGTGGTTACATAAGGTCTGAATCCAAAACCTAACTTTAAAGTAATAACCGTAATGTCAAAGGATAGATGTGGGAAGAGAGAGATTCTTACCTAATCCCTCCTTCCAACTTGTAACCCCAACCAGAGCTTTAAGAAATTAGAGTTTTCTAAGCTATCTCTAGAGGTGAGTAGGTGTATGAGGCACCCCCTTTACTACAGAAATCTTAAAAAAATAAAAAAGGCTGTCAGTGAAGGAGGGCACTGGGCAAAGAGCCACAGTTCTAAAGCTTTACTCAATAACATCGCACCGATGAGACAGGCCGCACCCATGCCAGCAGGAGTGGCTGATTATAGCAATCGCCCTCAATCTTAGAAGGGCAAGGGGTGAACAAGAGGAGTTTATGTGCTTCTTCCCTGGATCTCTACAGAGGGAGGCATGACCTAACTCTCTAAAACCAAGAACAGAATGTTCCTAATCACATTCCCCTTGAGAAATAGTAGATAATAAGATCTTTCATCATCAGTTGGTCACATTGCATTTGTCCTCTTTCGCCTGACTTTGCAGCTCTCCCTAAAACTTGCCCACTCCCTCCAGACCACCTCCAAATCTAGTTTCTCCCTAACGTGACCTGCAGATAGTGCATATGTCCCCATCTGCCAGTCCTTTGTCCACTCTGTATCTTCCCCCCTTGATAGAAAACGAAGTTCACTGCAGTCGGCTCACTTTCAGTGGGCTACCTTTCCCTCCACCCACAGCACCTCCTCTCTCAGACTTCTTCATCCCTCAGCTGCCCCTTCTCATCCCAAGGCACCACATATTGCTCTTTTCCGCCCTGCATTCTAACTTTTTTTTTCTGAGAGGATATTTATTAAACCTGGGGACATTGAAACAAGGAAGGGCCTAGGATATAAGAAGTTATAGGAGAAAGCCGAGGCGGAGTTGCTTTGGCTCTCTAGAAAGATCATGGGAAAAAAGTGAGCCAAGGTGGCGTTGCTGTCAGCTCACTGGAGAGTCAGAGAAAAAGGGACCTTGAGGACAGGTTCAGGGATTAGCCTGGGACAAGCTGCCACTGCCCATTGCTCCCCTGGTTACAAGTCTCGTGGGATACCTTAGAGTTTAGGAGAGGCATGCCTGTGGGGGAAGAACAGGGTTTGGGGGAGGGAGGGAAAGGCACAGGTGTGCTCCCAGGAGAGAGAGCATGTGCCCATTCTAACATCTTAAGTGGTCCACTTTCTAACCTTCTGGGAGCTTTCCCCTTGCCACTTTTTTCTGTCCTTTGATTCTTTTTTTTTTCTTTTTTCTTTTTCTTTTTTTCTTTTTCTTTTTTTTTAGTTTTAGGGATTAGTGTTTTTTTCTTTCTTCTACAGAATAAAGAAAATATGGGCTGTGTCCTCATGGGGCCCTCGTGTACATATTCCACCTTCCAGATGTAGTAAGTAGTTAGTTTTGTTGTTTTTTTTAATGTCACTGTGAATTGACGTCAAGACATGACATCAATGTTTAAATGGTTTATCACACAGCATTCTAATCAAGGCAACACCATCAGGAGTGTTGGGAGCCCTTATATTTTGCTACCTGTGGTATAACCATCATTCTCTTATCCAGGTAACTCTACCTTTGCTCAGTGTGGAGTGAATGACAGTAGCTCTTCAGGTTCAGTTACTAACATCTGAGTCGGAGAGGCAACATGGTATATGCAAAAAGTCAGAGTCCTGGCAGGAAACAGGGAAGACAGTACACATGGGTCATTTGAGGAGCTTAATCAAAGAAGTAGTCACAAAAATATAAGCAGAATGCATGGAAACACAACGAAAAGGGCAGCACACTAAGACATTAACAGGGTTTTGTTTTAGCCCCAGGGATTATAAGAGCAACATATTTCTTATGAGTAACATAGGAGAGTAACAGTCAATACTTCATAGCATTATTTGAGGATTATAAATAACATACGAAACAACTTTGCACAGTGCCCTTAGAGCTTAGAAAGAAGCTTTCAATATATTCTATAATGAAAATACTTCTCTCTCTTTGGGGCAATCGCCCTCATCCTTTCCATTCATTAACTCTCATCACCACAAACACTTGTTCCCCCAGAATACACCTCTCCCTCTCATGTGCCATTCTCTCATGTGTTACAATCTTCTCCTGAATCAACAGCCACCCCTTGCCTACACCAAGAAAAGTGTGAAGAACCCCTTGCAACAGATTTGGAGGGTAAACATTAGACCTCTGAAATCTCTGTTGCAAAGTGTGCTTCTCACCTCCAGCTCTACAGGCTCAGGTGCTCAGGCCACCGCACAGCATAGGCACACCACAGACGCACTTTTTGAGCCCATCTTCCGTACAAAAATGCAGACAAATACAGAAAATTACTCTTCCTTGCACTCATTCCCAATTGTCATCTTCTCTGACCACTTATTGATAATGCTATGGAGTATGCCCAAAAGAATAGGAAGGATTGAGAAAACTGACTTGCCATGTATGAGGACTTGCTATGAGCAATGAAGCATTTAGTTTTATTGGAATAGAAAGAATTAAGTGAAACAGCCCCTGCCTGGAGACATAGAGAAGGTGACAAGGACACTGGTGACCAATACAAGGCAGAATGAGATAGGTTCCATCAGAGAAATACAAAGAAAATGCTCTGAATGCACAGAAGGAAATGGTCCACTCTGGTTGGGAGAGTTAGACTTTGAGAAGGGAAAGACATCATGAAGGGGGTGGTATATAAGTTGCTTGTTGAAGAATGGGTGACATTTTAATGGGTACAGATGGGGGGATAAGCATCCCAGCCAGGCAGAAGGAGAAGTAAGTATAAAAGCAGTGAAGTGTAGAAAATTTGTTAAAGCCCATACTAACTGGTATACAAGAGATTTATAGGAGAGGACTAGAAATAAAACTAGAAAAGTTAAGTAGGGCCATATTTTGGAGATCATGAGTTCCAGGTGAAAGACTTATATTTAATTCGATTATTACTTGTCTATAATTTGTTGTATTTAATTCGATTTAGTTCTATGTCATTAACCGCTAAAGCTGAGCAGGGAGGTACCATGAGAAGCCACTCATCTTTGGGAAGGGCAACTGACAACAGTGTATAGAGAAGACTGAAGCACACAGAAGAGACTGATGACGGGGGAGAAGGGGGGCTTCAGCATGAAGCACCTGACATGGACAGGGAGGAGAGCTTTTAAAGATATTTAAAGGTGGAATCAGTAGTATTTGATGACTGATTGGATGTTGGAGTGAAGGTGGAAAATAGTAAAAAAGGCTTTGAGATCTCAAAACACTCAAAGAAATGGGAAAATCAGGGCAAGGAACAATTTTGAGAAATAAAAATCAAAGATAAATTTTACTGTGAACGTGGGGAATTTGAGATGCAAAAAGAACACTCTGTGAAACCTTCCAGTGAAGCGCAAAGATTGAAGGTGGTACTGTTGTTCTTCCTTTATCAAATACATGTTGAGCACCTACATATCTGAACCAGGTTGACTGAAGATGCTGAGGTGAACAAGCAAGACATGATTCCTGACTTCATGGAACTTGCACTCTAGTGGAGGAAACAGATGCTCACCCAAATATTTACCTGGACTTAGGTATCCAGGAAAGCTTTCCTGATGGACAAAGAGAAATTTAACCTGGGACTTGAGGGATGAGCAAGAGTCAACCAGGCAAAGGGGCAGGACAACAGCATTCCTGGCATTTGTGAGGCCCTCTTGCAGAATAAAGCTTGATATGTTTAATGAACTACAGGAAGGTCCATGAGCTGAGCAGAGTAAGCAAAACTCTAAAATCTTCAGTTGATGTCTGTCTCAAACATAGTTCACAAAAGAGCCAGAAATAAGGCAATGAATCGAGAAAAAAAAGAGTAGAGGGCATCCTTTGGACTTAACAATTGTGGTAGCTACAGAGGCCCATCCTCTATTTTCTTAGCCCTACTGCCCCAAGTTTGTATTTGCCACCCTAGATGTTATGACAGCCCAAATGACAACTCATTTTAGAATAAATCAAAGTAACCAAGCCACAGACACATGAGGACACAAAGAGTGTTCTTAGGACATAGCATATGCTCAATGAATGTTGTTTTAAAATTCACCTGTGTGGGGGGACACCTCTATAAGACACCTTGAATGATCCCATTTCTTTCTTACCATTCATAGCCACATGCTGAAATAGTTTAAAGAGGGATCTTATTTTGTGCTACTTCAGTTAATCCTGACATTGATTTCTTTCTTTCCTCTTGGCATAGCCTTGACACAGATTTGAAGTATCCCATGATTTCAGCTGGAAGTTTTGGCTTGTCATGTGACTACAAAGAAACTTTAACCAGGCTGATGTCTCCAGCTAGGAAGCTAATGTATTTCTTGGTTGAGTTTTGGAAGGCCAATAATTTGGCATTCAAACCTTATTCCTGGACAACTGCATACCTTTTCAAGAATGGTACAGAGTCTGAAGACTGCTTCTGGTAAGCAGAACTATCAACATGCTTTTGCATCTGCCACGGAGAGAAGCCAGAGACTTGTGGCAGGCCACTGGTTGTTGTCAGATGCACCTTCCATCTGTTATGGCCTTGGGAGTGGACACCAGTCCCCTGTATCACACACAAACAAAAGCAAAGGAGCCACAGGAAACATAGCATTGTAAATAGAATCAGCATGTATTGCATTTTCCACACTCTTCTTAGTTTTCAAAGTACCTTCATGGTAGTTTTATTGATTTCCCACAGTAAACCCTCTGAATAAAAGAGAATAGTTACTATTATCCCTATTTTACAGATAAGGAAAATGAAAACCAGAGGTTAATGCTTTCCCATTATTGTGCAAGATATGATACCAGAGAATGTGCATTCTGCTTATACCTACAACTAATTAGAAATCATTTCTCTCATGGCTTTTCAGAGGAATAAGGTGGCAGCAGGGAGTAGACAGAGAACAGGATAATGAGCATCATTGCTGAAAGAAAATTGCAAGGGTTGCTCACCTTCCGCAAAAGTGGCAGAGAGAATCCTTTGATTGAGTTATTATTTATCCCTCCAGCATGCAACTCAGTTCTGTAGTTTCTCTCCACATAAGCACTGAGAAGACTAAAGTAGGGAACCGCTGCAATTGTGCACGTAGGGATCTACAAGGATCAACCCAAAGGCCTCATACTAGAAACTTTGGGGTGAACTTTGAATACCATTAAGCTCATTTCACACAGGAGGAGAAATTATTACTACCAATTTTGAATTTTTGTACTGTAGATTCAAAGATTTCAACTTATCTAGGATAATGGGGTTGGTTTGCAGAGTAGAGCTTTTCTTCTGCAAATAGCAGGAAGCCATTATAAGGGACCCACCAAATCTCTACCATGTGTATATATACATGAAGATTCCCTAAAACTTTCTCAATACTTTCACTAAATTAGATGCCCTCAATCAGGGGGTGTATTATCTACTGTGTTAACAGTGGAAATGATTTTAGATTAACAAGTCCCAGGGAGATCTGTAAACAATGAGCAAATGGCATGGAAGGCTGTGAAGAAACTAAGCTGGTTTCTTATAGTTTCTCTCTCTCTCTCTCTCTCTCTCTCTCTCTCTCTCTTTCTCTTTCTCCCCTCCCCTCTCCTCCCTAGGTATCTCAATGCTCTGGAGGCTGGCGTTTCCTATTTTTCTCAGAATCTTAATGTCAAGGAGGTGTTGAGACAGGAGAAACAGTTTCATGAAATCTTAATGGACCAGAACAGAAAAAGCAATGGTAAGAAGACATGAAGATAGTTTTTTCCAACTTCTTTCTCACAACTACCACTTCCTTATGAGTCATTTTCATAAATCTACCAGACAGAACTGTCATCAGTACCTCAGTTTATTTTGTATCTTTTGAGAGATCTGTAGTTGCATGCAGCTCCAATATATTCTTTTATTGATCAAACCCTTATCTTCTGGGAGAAATTAGGAAAGTGGTATTGAGTAATTATATTAACTTCATGAAAATAATGATGATGTTAAAATCCAGCTTTTATAAACCAAAATGATATCACAATCCACCATCACTATAAACTGTTTTTTTTAAGTTCACCTCAATCCAGTATATTATTGGATTTGTGACAATTACTCAAACATTCTGAACCCTGCTCCCCTCATGACTAAGAGGATATGTGTACTGATATGTAACCTCAGGCAAAATTACAAAAGTAAGCAAAGTATCTCACCTGCCCAATGATCTCCAAGTTACAGGTCAAGTGTGAAAAGCTAATGGGATAAGGTCATACTCCATAAATTATTGGGTGATTTGCTCCTCTTTCCACATAATTCTCTTTACAAATAAGAATATATCAAGAGTAAAGGAATCAACTGTGGTAATTTCCTGTGGGAAAATGGTTGCTTGGCAGGATTTCCTGGTACATTCAAATCATTACCTACTATCATTATTAAGCATTTACCAAATTAAGAATCTACCATTTGTAAAACATGGACCAAGGTATTAAAAAAAGTAAGTATTAAATTATTCATATCCCTAAAGGATTTACAATTCAACTGGGCAATGCAATATTTTAAAAATCTAATGAAGTGTCCTGCAGCTCCTCTTACTCATAAAGTCATGCATTTGGGAAGTTTGGCTGCAATTATAGAATCAGGTTGCACTCTGTCACTGAAATCATTAAGACTAAGTTCTGAGTTAACAAGCTGCAAAGCCCACAAGAAAAGGTGCTTAGGAAAGCTTCATAAATTCTCACATTAACTTATACTATACCTTTTCCAACCACTTTACAAATGGTGAAATGACAATAGTTATCAATGAAAACAGTTTTTGTAATGACTCCAGACTGGTGCAATGGAATAGGCACTGAACCAAATTCATAAAATTGAATTTGAGAGCTACCTCTGTCACCTACTAGTTCTTTAACCCTTTGATATTTAGGCTTCAGTGTCCTCAAATTAATAAAATTAAGGGAATGGACTAAACCATTCTTTTTAAGATTCCTTTTAGCTCTATTCTGACTTTATGACTGTAAATTTAAGGAAGGGGGAGGTAGCAATTTGAGGAATTGGTGTTAATCTTAAAACAATGTAGCATGGACATACTGGGTTCAAATTCACCCGGTTCCCTCCCTGCTCATATGTAGACCATCATATATTTCTCTCCTCGTCTTGCTCTCTCTCCTCCAGTGATTGTTGTATGTGGTACACCAGATACCATCAACTCCCTCATGGGTGACCGGGCAGTGGCTGAAGATACTGTCATTATTCTGGTGGATCTATTCAAGTAGGTATAATATTTGGAAGAACTCTTTATTTCAGAAAGAAAAGACTCCAAGGATTTGCAAAAGACGTATTCTCTTTTCCTTTTCTTTGCACAGCCTCATATAGGGTTGAATATGACAATAATATTTTAACTTGTGTTTCATTCTCTTTTTATTTATCCTCATTCTTATTCAATTAATCATGGCCTGACTAGAGATATATTTCTTTGACATCACTATCATGTTTAAATAACAAAATTTTATGAAAGTCCCATTAGACCCACCTGTCTGTTCATCCTGGTGACCAGCCTGATTTAAAGGTCTTTTCCCAGGCAGCAATAAATCAACCTATAACCCAAAAATATTACTTTTGAGAATGTGTGCCATATCTGTACCTTCAATTGCTAATGACCTTTAATCCTAGATTATCTTTCCTTCAGCCACCTTTGGTACGAGGAAAGTTCCAGTTAAATGAGTTGGGTTTACACAATTATTCTTTACCTAATGTGACATAGTCACTGGGTGGTAATCTTTTCCTCTGCATTTCTCTGGAACTGGAGAGAGAAAAATTCTAGAAAACAGAAAGCACTTTTTATCACATCCCTCATTTTACCACTCATTTTCTAATGTGGAGGCCTACAAATTAACTGTGCCAAGGCAATATCTGAGTGAGGTTAAGCTTAAAGATGGTTTCACTGGTGTGGCTGTGTGCTCTTTGCCCCATCAGCTAAATCATGTGACTTCACTTATCTGGCTGGATCATTAATCATTACCCCTCTGTATTCAGACCAGAAGCTATTACTCTTTCCCATATTTGCCTAGTCATCTCACTCACACTAAATGTACTTTTCACAGTGTTAAAAGAAATGAAGCATAGGAACTGCAGGCCTGTTTGATCACAATTGTTCATGAAGATAATCAGCCAATTTAACATTTTAGCTGAAGAATATAGGAATGAGGGCAAGTTATCAACATTTCATTCCTACAACCACACTGATAACTGCTTTCGATAACTGTGTTGCCATCTGGAAGATATCCTCAGTGTAGTCAAGGTTGGGTAATTTTACTTTTAGCAAATCTTCAATCAACTGCCAAAGTGTTGGCAATCCTTTGTCACTACTCCCAAAGGACACGTGGCTACGTTTTGGGAAAATTATGAAATTCACTTGAAACTAGGGATAACTTGGGTTCAAATTCTAATTATAGTTCACTAGATTCTTGGGTATTAGTATTTTGAGACTAAATCTGCTCATTTATAAAATGAGAATAAAAATATCCACTTTATAGCGGTACTTTTAGATGTGATAATATGAGCAAAATATTCAACACAGTCCTCAGTTCGCAGATATATTCACCTACTGTTTAAATGTTAAATGATGGGTAATCAAGTTATAGCAGTTCAAATATGTTAAGATTCTTGACGTATGAAAATGTTCAAATGATTAGGCAGCTAGGTACCATTTGTAGTGCAATCAGCCATTATTGAGAGCCCACGACTTGCCAAGTATTATCTCGAAGTTGAAGATAAAAGAATCAATGAGCAAATGTCAACAAGTTTACAGTGTTAGAGAAAATGTTTAGCCCTTCCATCCTTATGTTTCAGCATCTGAAAAGTAATTTTAATTCGTAAAGTTTCTATCATATCTTAGCATTTCAAAATTGTTATGAGCCCTTAAGAAAAAGAATGCTCCAAAGGGTCATGAGGTCCGGAAAGCAAGCACTAGCTCATGTCCAGAGCCCAGAGAAGTAGGGTCTGTCTTCTGGTCTTCCTTTCCCTTTGTGTATGTTCAACACAGATGCTTCAGTTCTTTTGTTCAGCTTAGCAGGTATAGAAGAAAATAAGTTTATCTGGGGAAAGTAGAAAGTTTTGCATGTTACTGGAAAAAAATAAAATGTTTTAAACTAGTTCAAGGCTTATCTTATAGTCTGTGTGCATTGTAGAAGCTCCATCTCTATTTTTGGAGGAACCTAATTTTCATGAGAAAGTTGTGCTTTTATTGCAGTAACAACTACTTCATGGACAATGCCACAGCCCCTGACTATATGAAAAATGTTCTTGTTCTGACACTGGGTCCTGAAAATCCCAACACAAATATCTCTTTCGCTCAGCATTCCTTACCGGTAAGCTTCATATATACATACTGTTACTTTCTTTGTCAAAGTTAAGATATTTTTCTACTGTTTGGGGCTCAAATTCTAACATGGGCTGTTAAAGCTCTTGCTACGGGTCAATGCACTAGGCTGTAGACCAGCACAACAGTACACACTCGTGTAACATTGGAATGGAAATGGCAGTGTGGGAAGATAGAAGACTCCCTGCTAACTTAGGGAAGGTAGAAATTAAAAATGTAAAATAAATAAAGTTTTCCTGCATCCTAAAGCAACCTTCTGCTGGCACCAATCTAAAAATTCTACCTTTAGAGATATACACAGGGGTGGGCAAAAGTAGGTTTACAGCTGTTGATATGGAAAATGCAGTAAGAAATAATATTACAAGTATAAACTCTGTTTTGCATATTCACAAATGCAAACTTACTTTTTCCCACCGCTGTATTCCTAAATTAAGATATTGCATTTTATTATGATTGGGTTAACCATTGTCTATATTTGTCGAGGAGAGTCCTGGCTTATTCTTCTTATCCCAGCATTCCATCTGGTTTAGCCTTTGCCCCCTAAAAAAGACACTCTAATTGGACATCAAATAAGGATCACCTTATTCTAATGTAGGGCCCCTGACTCTAACACTACAAAGGGCTTAGTCAGCTGCTGCACCTTACTTAATGTGTTCAAATTCATCAGATGTAATCTACTCTCAGAGATGGTTGAAAGAAGTTTTGGAGTGGGAAGAGGAGGGAAGGAGCCGTTCTGAGGACCCTGAACAGTTTGAGGAAGGGCGAGCGAAGGCCAAGCCCAAAGAGCTCTCTAAGTAAAGTTGGGTATCTTTGGGAGCATCACAGTTTTTCCTAGACTAGCAGCAGTTCTAAGCTCTCTGTTTTATAACCCTGCCAAAATCATGGGCTGCGTCTCTTTTTGGGTGGGGATGGGTCTTAACTGCATTCTTTTAATCTCATGACATGATAATTTCAGCAGAAGATGCTGAAGCCAGTGAGAGGTGTTTTAATTTTTTCCTTTTTGTCCTGGATATTTTGTAGCATATATACTTCAGAGTACAGTGTTCAGGTATCACTTGCACAGCTCCTAGGCTCTGGCAAAAGTGTGATTCTTCATAGGTGGGCATTCCAAAATGCCCAAGCTGACAGCGTTCACTTGGTCTCAGCAGGGCATGAAACTTTAAACCCACAGCTGAACTCTGTGAAGTCCAGCATACAGCTGTTTCAGGGGAACTCAGACCCTCTCCATTAGGTTCCCCTGGGCAGACATGTTGCTTCCTCTGAAGCAACACCCAATCAGAACTGTCTTCAAAGCAAGTTCAGTGGTATCATCCAATCAAAACTCCTCCTGCCCCATTCAGGATGCTCAAAGTCAGGGGGATATTGTTGTGGTTATTTTCTCTTACTCTTTACTGAAACCATGAAACTACACGTGTTATTTTGAAAAAATATTACAAGAATTATACAAATGCTGTCTGTTATCCTTCCCTGTTGAAAAGACATATTTTGTCCTCATGGCAAGGAAGGACAGCTGTTTTCAGTTACTGCCTGAAATGCAGTGTTCTCAGTTTATAGATCCCAAAAGCAGAGAGAATTGGGACACAGGGATAATAAAGAGCCCAACGCCAAGAAATATTTTCCAAAATTCTCCTGTAATACCATTTCTACAATTCCCCTAATATTCACTTACATTTGTAATTAACCTGCTGACTCCAAGAACGTTTTGCTTCAGGCTCAAGGTCAGAATCTCTGTTTTGAAACTCATTTTAAGATTTTTTATTTCCCTCATTCAGGCAATGAATGACTTTTCTCTTGCCTACCTGAATGGAGTCTTGCTCTTTGGACATATGCTGAAGACATTTCTGGAAAATAAAGAATCTGTTACCTCCTACAAATTTGCTCAGGCTTTCAGGAATGTCACTTTTGAAGGTACTGGTCACCTAAGAGCAAACATTAATGACACTGAACTAACACTTTCTAGAAAAAGCTGAAGAAATATGGACTTTGTGGATGGACTTGGGGAAGTAAAGAGGGGCTTTGGCAATAGATGAATCAATAGATAAATACCTTTGAACTTAATTGGAGGCAAACATCATTGTATAGACTTTGGAGGTGTTATAACTAGGCCCCAGTTTATGCTTAAGAATTTCAGAACCTTTTACTAGCAAAGAAAGAGCATGTCCCTAAGGCCCTGCAGTTATGAACACACTCATCACCGTTTTTTGAGCAATTATGTCCTGACTGTGCTTGGAGATTAGCAAGAAGAAAAATACCTGTTGTGTGATCTTGGTCTTTCCATATTTCTCTTTCTGTCCTTCAGAGATCAGGGACCCTGTGTTACCCCTCTCACTCAAAACCTCTCATAACAATACCATCCAAAACTTCTCAGCACATGTCCTTCTGAACTATAGGGATCAGCATTTCCTTTCCATACAAGCTTCTATCGAAACTCCTTTCATTCCCTAAGATCTCATCCAGATACTATGAAAAAACTTCTTTTTAGATTAATGTATACTAATGGAAATGGAAATGGAAATGGAAATGGAAATAATAGTTGACTTCTCTAACTTGCCTTAAATCCTTACTCTGAAAAACCTTTTTCATACTGCAAAGTAAAGTTTATCTTAGCTTCAGAGGGTGGCAGACACCCAGGACTAAAGCTTGAAGGCTTCATCAGTGTCTATAGTATATGACAATGATAGGATGAGGTCACTTCTGCTCCCCTAAAGAAGCAGGGAGGGATAGTACTTTATTGATATTCCCCTGTGTCCCAAGTCCTTCCAGTCAATTAATGTACATTTTTCTCCAGATTTTTAAAATTGTGATAAAACACATAATATAAAATGTACTATCTTAATCACTTTTAAAGTATAGTTCAATGGCATTAAGTTTATTCACATCATTACGCAACCATCACCCCTCATCCAGAACTCCTTTCACCTCTTAAACTGAAATTTTATAGTTATTAAACAAGAATTACCCATTACCCCTCCCCCAGCCCCCTGGGAACTGTCATTCTACTTTTTGTCTCTGTAACTTTCAATGTTCTACATACCTCCTGTAAGTGGAATCATACCGTAGTTTTCTTTTTGTGATTGTCTTATTTCACTTAGCGTAATGTTCTCAAGGTTCAGTCCATGTTCTGATATGTCACAAAGGATTCCCAGTTGATAGTTTTTTTTCTTTTAGTATTTTGAATATATCAGTCTAAAAACTTCTGGTTTTCAAAGTTTCTAATAAGAAATCAGCTAACAATCTTATTAAATATCCTTTGTATATGACAAATCACTTCTCTTGCTGTTTTTAAAATTGTCTTTGTCTTTTACTTTTGACAGTTTTATTATGTGTTTTGGTGTGAGGCTCTGAATTCATTTTACTTGAAGTTTATGTGAGTCCCTGCATTCATTTTACTTGAAGTTTATTGAGCTTCTTGCGTGTTTATATTCCTGTCTTTGATCAAATTTGGCAAATTTTTGGACATTATTAATTCTAATATTCTTTTACCTCTTTCTCCCTCTCTTCTTCTTCCAGGACTTCCATAATGCATATGTTGGCCTACTTGATAATGTTCCACAGGTCCTTTAGGTTCTGTTCAGTTTCCTCCAATCTTTTTTCTTTCTGATCCTCAGGCTCAATAATTGCCATTGTCCTATATTCATGTTTGCTGATACTTTGTTCTGCCTGATTAAATCATCCTTAGAATCCCTCTAGTGATTTTTTTCATTTCAGTTATTGCACTTTTCACTTCCAGAATTTCTTTTTGGTTTTTTTTTTAGATTTTCTTTCTTTTTATTGATATTTTCATTTTGTTCAAGCACCATTTTCTTGACTCTACCCATGTCTTCTTTTAGTTCTCTGAGCATCTTTAAGATTATTGTTTAAAAGCCTTGTCTAGCAGGTCCACCATCAGGTCTTTTTCAAGGAGAGTTCTGTTATTTCATTATTTTCTTTTGAATGGGCCATATTTTCCATTGTTTTGTGTGCCTTGTGATTTTTTTTGTTGTCATTGAACACTGGACATATGAATATAATAATATAGTAGTTCTGGAAACCACATGGGGAATGAGAAATTCTCCCCTGGAGAATTCCCCATTCCCTGGGGTTTGCTGTTTTTTATGGGGGTTGTTTTGTGTGTGTGTGTGTGTGTGTGTGTGTGTGTGTGTGTGTGTGCCTTTTGATTTTATTGTTGTAAGCTGTCTCTGTGCTGAGAAGTAAACTTAAGTCCTTCTCAGTTCTTTTCTGAGTTTCTGTCTTTTCCTTGACACGTCCGGTGACTTTCTAATTTTCCTATACGTGCAGTTGCTTGAATGTCCTACTTATCAATGTCTGTCTCTCAAGGGGAAAAAAAGAGATAAACAAAGGGTCAAAGGGGTACCAACGCTTTACACACCCTGAAAGTCATATCAGCAGAGGGGTGGGGTACTCAGTAATGGGGGTATGTGGAATAATGGCCACCATCTCTTTGTCTGCACCTCTGTAATCATAAGCAAGGATCAACAATCAGAGCACAGATCCCCAATACTCAGAGGACAGGGTCTTTATTTTTTGCTTACTCTGACTCCTGCAAGCTGTGTGAGCTGCTCCAGGAACACATGTACAGCTGTCTGCCACAAGACTGAGGGGTGGGGGAATAAGTAGCTGCTGCTGTGCTAAGAGCTGAAATGGACAAAAATTATTCACAATTGACCATCTAAGCCTTCCCCTGAAAGCTGCAAGCCTTTGATAGACATCAGATTCAGAGTTTCATAATAGTTACACCAGACAGATTCTTCCTGTGTATTTGTTGTCTAGGTGAGGAGATATGTTTCTGGTGCTTCCTAGGCTGCCATCTTCTCACAATCCTCCTATGTGCATTCTTAATTAACTTTATCATATCTGTGATCTTGGTCAAGCATCTTAACAGCTGCTAACAAAAGTTTAGAACCAGGAGACATTTATTTATATCCTAAATTAACCACCTACTAGCTATACAACCTAGAGCAAGTTATTGTATTTAAATCTCCAACCTCAGATTTCTCACCATAAAACGGAGATAATAGTTTCTATATAATAGTGTTTTAGGAAAAATAAAATGATAAATGCATATAAAACACTTAGCACAGAGCCTGGTAAACACAAAATAAATATTAATTATTATGTTGAACTATATGAACTTATGGCATTTGATCATATTTTTACCTAAACAGCCATTTCATAAATTTGTTGTACTGCTATTATTTCATAGATGAGAAACTGAGACACAGAGAACTAAATTTTCTCAATGTCTTCAACCAGTAAGCAATAGTGAAGGGATTTTGACCTTCTTACCTTCTAGGTTAGATTATGCAGTGACCCACACACTTTGATACTAATTTGGTAAATATTCTTAGCAAAAACTTCTCACTAATAATCAGGAGGAATCTATTACACTTTGGGCCCCCCTAAATGCAATGAAAAAATGTTTCCTTCTAAATAAATAACATCTCTCATAAAAATATTCTTCAGAGATCTCAGGGCCAAGAATCAATCCAGGTGCCCTTGGATTAGATCATTTACATCAATTTTTCAGTAAAATAGAGCAATCTGATGCAATTTTATACCCTCTATCAGTATCTAACTGGTCTTTTAGTCAGTAAATTAGCAAAGGCCTCTAACTCTTTTTCATTTTGCTCTAGGGTTAACGGATAACGTGACTTTGGACGACTATGGGGATATCGATAATATAATGGTGCTTCTGTATACCTCTGTGGATACCAAAAAAGTACGTCTGACTTTTTATCAAGAACTTGGGTTGAAGTGATTGGCTGAGGAGGGATAACTTGGGAGACAAGTAATGAAGGAATTAGAAAAGTTAGTTTATGTCAGATTCACAATTATACTCCATCTGGGGCTTTATTCCTTAAGGATGTTGACCCACAGAGCTTTTTATTCAGAATATCTACTCTACTATATAAAAAAATACCACCCAGAATACATTGCTATAAAGGCCAGACTATTGATAGAATACCAATGAGAGGATCACAGCTCTCTTGTAAGAACAGTTTATTCATTTCCACGACTAAAAATTTCAGTAAAACATCTTCTGTTCTCTCTGTCTGAACTCTCATGAAAATCACTGTAATCCCTCTGACACACATAAACAGCCCTATAATGCTATGCTTTTATTCACATTACATGTGTCTTTGTTCTCTCCAACTTAGTAGGTTCTTTAAAGAAAGAGAGTGGGTCTTACCTCTACACGTCTTCAATGCTTAGTTTCTTATCTGGCATATGGCTGATCAGCATTTAACTGAAAAACATAACACGTATCGTCATGGCACCCAAAGTAGTGCCCATTTCAAACTCTGAAAGCCAGTATCAGCCACCCAAATGGTCAGTAGAAAGTGTCTGTGTTTAAGAGGTTGGGTCCTTACACAACTAAGACTCTAACAGAAAAAGTTATTCATGCGCTATAACTTTCCAGTGTGAGTATCATGACATTTTTATGGATAAACACACATACACACACACACACGCTCAGCTTTGTAAAAGATATCAGTAATGGAAAATGTAGAAAGCTAGAGAAAAGAAAGTTAAACCAGAAATTTGGTGGCATCATTTCAGAAACATAATCCAAAGTTTTCAGTTACTATATTGGACCTTTAATATAGCGCTATAGTTAGCATTCATTCAATGGGAATACTTTAAAAAAAGATCCCCTTCATCCTTCAGTTACTAGTAGTAACAACAAAGATAACCAAAATCCCCTCTAACTTATTTGCACCTGGGATGAGAGACTGATACTTGTAGTAAGAGCCCATGTCAGCCTCATGCCTGTTCTTCAAAATAAAAGATGTTGTTTTGTGCACTTGTTTTCTCTGAAGGCATATCTAGTTGAAATTTTCAGTAATCTGATGCCACCAATTGTGCTTTGTAATACCTGTATATGGGAAAAGCAGGGATTAATTTTCAAAACACAGGGCTATAGATATAGTATTCTATATCCAGAGTAAGGTCGCAGTAGAGATTCAATGTAATATATAGGGTATTTGCTATCGTCAATACATGCAATTACACATTCTACTCTCAGGTGAAGAATGTATTTTTGAGGATGTAAAAGTTTTGTCCGCAATGTTTTGAGGGAATGGTTGTGAATTTAAAAAGATGGTTATTAGCCCGGGCTGGTGTGTCTCAGTGGATTGGGTGCTGGCCTGTGAACCAAAAGGTCGCCAGTTTGTTTCGCAGCCAGGGCACAGTCCTGGGTCGTGGGCTAAGTCCCCAGTTAGGGGTGTACAAAAAGCAACGCTTTCTCTCCCTTCCCTCTCTCTAAAATAAATACATAAAATCTTAAAAGAAAAAGAAAGTCAGTTATTTTTTTAGATGTCTTTTAAAAGCTTATTCAATATGTGTAGCAGCAATTTCATGATACAGTAGTATTCCCGTTGTGAGATTACTTGGGGGGAAAAAAGCCTTTTATCTTAAAAACCTAGTATCGTGTATAAGAAAGCACATTAGAGGAAGGGGTAGATGTGAAAATTTTGCTATTGACAGAACTTAAGAAATATAGAATTATTTCAGAGCCCCTTGACATGTATCAAAATGGATAATGGATTTTAGCTGTTGTGCATTTTGTCAAGACACCATTTTCTACAGCAGCTTAATATTTGTGGAAAACATTGGTGCTTCACTTCTCAAGTGACTTGGAACTAGCCATTTAATATCTCCAAGCATTTATTTTGTTTTTACTTTTTTTACATTTTACGTTTTATTTTCCATTACAGTTTACATTCAATATCATTTTATATTAGTTTCAGCACAGTGGTTAGACAATCACATACTTTACAAAGTGGTCCCCCTACTATTTCAAATACCCATCTGGCACCATACATAGTTATTACAATATTATTGACTGTATTTCCTCTGCTGTATTTTACATTCCTCTGACAATTTTATGATTGACAATTTGTACCTCTTAATCCCTTCACCTTTTTCACCTAGTCCCCCAAACCCCCTCCCCTCTGGCATCCATCGATCTGTTCTTTGTGTCTATGAGTCTGTTTCTATTTTGTTTGTTCATTTGTGTTGTTCATTAGATTCCACATATAAGTGAAATGATATGGTATTTGTCTTTCTCTGACTGACTTATTTAATTTAGGATAATACCCTTTAGGTCTATCCATGCTATTGCAAATGGTAAGATTTCATTCTTTTTTATGGCCAAGTAATATTTCATTGCATATATGTACCAAGGTTTTTTATCCAGTCATCTATTGATGGGCACTTGGGTTGCTTCTTTATCTTGACTGTTGGAAATTAACATAAGGGCGCATATAGTCTTTTGAACTGGTGTTTCGGTTTTCTTCAAATATATGCCCAAAAGTGTAATCACTGAGTCATTAGGCATTTCCATTTTCAATTTTTTGAGGTGTCTCCATATTGTTTTCCACAGTGGCCATACCAGTCTGTGTTACCACCAACCGTACAAAAGGGTTCCCCTTTCTCCACATCCTTACCAACACTCATTTGTGGACTTATTAATGATGGCCGTTCTGACAGGTGTAAGGTGATATCTCGCTGTGGTTTAAATTCGCATTTCTCTGATGATTAGTGACATTGAGCATCTTTCCGTGTCTGTTGGTCTTGGCCTCTATTTTAACATTTGTAAAATGAAAGACTTGAACCAGCTCTCTAAACAGCCAAAGAACTTATATTGGATAGACGTAGTGTATGGTCATGAAAAATAAAAACAGAAAACTAATTGACCCACATAGAGCTTAAATCCACAATCACACTATGAAGCAATAAATGGATCTTACCAAGCTCTCCCATGGCTGGTTAACATTATCTTGTTTCACTGAGAACTGTTACTATGAAATTCAAATGTTATTGGACAGGATGGTCAATTTCATCAGAAGTTGTTCTAAAATATTTTTTTTCTGTTCATCCTTCTTCTTTTTTATGCCCTGACATAGTACAAGCTTCTTTTATCCTTTGATACCCACAAAAATATAACTGAACCAGAAGCTATGAGCCCCACATTCATTTGGAAGAACTATAAACTTCCTAATGATGTTCCAGAACGGGGTAAGATATGCTTAGTGAATTTTCTTCTCCTAAAGTTGTTTTTCTGATAAGGAGGGTAAATTTTATGGTTTATGCATTTGGTCTGTGTTTTTTGTTCTGTTTTGTTTATTGTCTGAATTATATTTGCCAGGATTATAAATGTCTTTACTTCTCTATACAAGGAATGATATTACAGTTATGATCAAACACTGAAAATATCCCTATTCTAACTTAGCATAACTATCTTTAATATGTGTTCTACCTACCTTCTGACATAAATCATCCTGTAGAAAGATAGGTTTGACAATTGGTAAAATGAAATATATTCTTACTCCTTTTATATTTTACTTCAGTAAGCTCAGAAAATACATCTTTCGGGCTGAGGGACAGTCAGTGAGCATGGCCGCTAAAGTCTCTGCCATTACTGCATAGGACACATATTTGGGTTAGAGTGATGGTTACCAACCTACTTAGGATGAGGCCTTATCTGTTACAGAAAGCCCTGCCGTGACCAGCCTTCTCCCACGCAGGTTTCAGTGCAACTGTTGTCACTGGCCATCTCTGGACAGGGCCAGCCAGGTATGTCCTGGGTAACAAGGTCTCAGGACAGTCCATCCTTCATGGAGCTGTCTGAGGCTTATCACAATGAATATTAAGTGATTCCTTATTACCAATCTATTTTTAGGAAAAATAAATTTACATTTGGACAAACATTTGTGCCTAAAGATGCAAAAAAGAAAAAAGTGGAAACATCATAAATAATATGACTAACAATTATGATCTATGAGGGGGATCCACCCAAAAAATGGTATTTATTTATTAAAAAATTACGTATTTATTCTTCCATGTTTAAACTTCAGTCACCTTCAGAGTACTCTCCATTTGATGCAATATACCTATTGAGACATGTTTTCCACTGCTCGAAACAGTTTTTAGACTGGTTGATTTTGATGCCCTTTAGTGCTTCTGCCATTTTTTGTTTTGTTTGTTTCACATCTTCCACAGCAGCAAAACCTTTCCCTTTGAGGACATTTTACATCCAGGGAAACCAAAAAACAAAGTCACTCCTGGAGAGATCAGGTGAACAGGGAGGGTGGGGCATGGGGGTCAAATCATTTTTGGTCAGAAATTGCTGAACACTCAGCACAGTGAGGGCACGTGCACTAATAAATCACCCACCATGAAATGAGCAAATGCGTTGAAAACGCCTTCCAAAAAAATTCGCTGAAGCTGAGCGCAGCCTCTCACAACAATGCAGCTAGCACACTGATACACATGGGTTTCTGGAACACTCACCTAGCAGGGGAAACCCTTACGGCCCAGCCCTCCAGAATATAATTCCAGTTTTTTGGAGGTCCCCCCTCATATTCATAAATGGAGTTTCATGCAACCAATTAAAAATAATTATTTACAAATAATTTTAATGTTTTTTAAAATTTATTGGGGTAACACTGGTTAACAGAATTATATAGGTTTTAGATGTAGAATTCTATAACACATCATCTGTACACTGTATGTGTGTTCACCAACACAAGTTACAAAGAATTTTAAATGACATGAGAATACTTAGGATATAAAGTTACAGGAAAATACAGGTTTTTAGTTAATAAGATTCTACCTTTATAAAACAATGCATAAAAATAAGAGGGTAAAACAATGTGCTAAAATGTTAACCTCTCAGTGTAGTATCCTAGAAGACTTTTTTTGCTTTCATATTTTTTCTTAATTATCCATAATGCCACGGTATTAATTTATCATTTTTTTAATATTAAAAATTTTAGCCCTGGCCAGTATGGCTCAGTTGGTTGGAGCACTATCGTGTAACCAAGAGGCTGCAGGTTCGATTCCCAGTCAGAGCAGGTACCTGGATTGTGGGTTCGATCCCCAATCGGGGCACGAGCAGAAGGCAGCCAGTTATGCTTTTCATATCACTATTTCTCTCTCCTTTCCACTCTCCTCTCTGTCTAAAAGTAATGGGAAAATGTCCTCAGGTGAGGATAAAAAAATAAAAAATAAATATTAAAAAATTAAACTAGAAATATTTTTATCCCAGCCTTGCTCTACCACCAGAAACTCTGAAAAGCCTTGATCTGACCAGTTGGTTTGATGAGTTTTATTGTGTTAAAGCTATAATAATTATGTTTCTAGTTTCCTTAAGCTCTATAAGACAAGTTTACTTAAAATTTATCCCTGTGTTTTATAATTCAATAGGCATGAGCAGTTGACTAAAGCAAAGAAGAAGGTGGGAAATGGGGACCTCTTTATTTTAAACAAGAGCTGACTTTAGATTTATTGTTATTGATTTTTAAAGTTGCTTCCTTTAGCAAGGCTTTTTATTATTTTTATTGTTGTTGTTACTATTATTATTATCCCTAGAACCAAGTTCAAGCTTCCTAGGTTTTAAACCAAATTTGACTTCTGAAAAATATCTCTCTCCTCACAGGCTTCGGCAACTTTCTACTTCTTCCTTTTGCAACTTTCTGAATTAAAATTATTTTTTCTTTCTCCTTAATTAAAACTTTAAGTGACAATGTTAAGTATGGATTTTTAGCATACTCCTTCACAGGTTTTAGATGTTTTGGTTATTGAATTCTGTGGTTTTTAAAATGCTGAACTCGAAAAGTAATTTTCAAGAGAGCTCTCATTGACCTAAAAGAGATCACATTAAATATTTATATTCTACAGGACAGGGACATTGCATCATCCTGGGCAACTTTGCTTCATCTTCAGTTAACTAGAAAACTCAGTTACCTAGGCCTTTTGGTTATTTAACTGTTACTACATTTAGTTTTAAACTTTACAAATGAAGTAACTCAATCTTTCAAATAGTATGCAAATAAGACATTCATGGCCCAGTAACTGCCATTCATCCGGAGTTTGCAGCATCACTGGGTTTTTATCCATTCAGCAAAGATTTACTTAATGCCCGCCAGTCATCTAAGCACCTGGACACAGCAATGGAAACACAAATTAGGTTTTTGTTTTCGTCCAAGCCTTCTGGGTTATAATAACATGCACAGACTTCCTGCCTCAGTCCTACCTCCCGCCCACCTTCCATCCAATCAGCACAACCACCAGAACAACAGCATGAATCCAGTCATATTACTTCACTGTTGCTAACACTTCAATTGACAGCTCCCTTTTACCTAAAGAATGAAATCCAAATGATTTACTATTGCACAAAACTTCCGCAATCTTCCTATATCTGCAGCCTTATTTCTCATTTTACCTCAGACCCCTCCACCATACTCTCAACTTCCTCCTACTTCCTTAAAGAAAGGGTCTTGCGACTTCATGTCCCTGTGTCCTTATTGATGCTTCTCCCTCCAAACTAAGTCATCACTTCCCCATACAACTGGAGAACAACCACTCATCCTTACTATTCAACTTGAATTTCGCCTTTCCTAAGCTTTTTCTTAGCATCTCAGGAGAGTACTAATCTTGCTGTTATCTTACCAGACTTCTAGTATAATACTTATATTACATTTACTTGTTTACACATCTTTTTATACCATACAACACATGTAGGGTTAATTCTTTATTGATATCGTTTTGCCCCAACACAATGCTTTGGGAAGAAAGGAAGCAGGGGAAGGAAAGAAAGAGGGAAGGAAGGAAGGAAGGCAGGGAAGGAGTGAGGGAGATAGCTATAAACATGTTTCTAGTCAGCATAATTTATACAATGCTAATATAAGTCAATTTACTTCTCTAAGTATGAATACCTTCCTCTGTTAAACCAGTAGATTGAACAAATCACAAGGTTCCTTTCAACTACTATGTCATATAACCTCGGGGTTAAAAACTCAATCTACAGTCATTGTGATCCAGTTAAATAAAATGTGATAACCCCAGCAACTACCAGAAAGCAGTGCAAACCTAACCTTAGAACTAATGTGATGCTGTGACTTACCTAACAAGCAATACTAAAAAGTATGTTGAACTAAAAATTACAAATTTCCAATTAAAAAAGTAGTCACAGAGATATAAAGTACAAGATAGGGAATGTAAACAATATTGTAATAACTACGTATGCTGTCATATGAGTACTAGACTTATCCAGGTGATCACTTTCTAAGCTATGTAAATGTCTAATCACTATGTTGTACACCTGAAACTAATATAATATTTTTTGTCAATTGTACATGAAAAAAATATTTTTAAACAAATTTTTTTATTTTATTGATTTATTTTTAGAGAGAGGGAAAGGGAGGGAGAAAGAGACAGAGAGAAACATTGATCCATTGCCTTTCACACATCCCAAATTGGGGACCTGGCCCAAATCCCAGGTATGTGCCCTGACCAGGAATCAAACCAACAACATTTCAGTTCACAGGCCAGTGCTCAATCCACTGAACCACACCAGCCAGGGCATATTTTCTAAACAAATGTTTTAATGGAGTAAAAATATATTTCATTTGCCAGTTGTCAAACAATTTTTAAATAAAATTTAAAATATTTTAATTAATATTTAGTATATATTTTTTAAGATTTTATTTTATTTTTTTTTTGAGAGAGGGGAAGGGAGGGAGAAAGAGAGGGAAACATCAATGTGTGTTTGCCCCCTACTGGGGACCTGGTACACAACAGAGGCATGTACCCGGACTGGGCACCAAACTTGTGACCCTTTGGTTCACAGACTGGCACTCAGTCCACTGAGCCACACCAGCCAAGGCTAATTAATATTTAGTGTATTTAAATATTATAGTTATATTTAGTGCAGTGAGATGTTCACACTCTGAGAAGCAGATGGGAATTTAAATGGGCTGAGGACTCTACAGATGGGAGTCCCATGCGTCCCTTCCAACTCATGCTCTAGGTAGGGGTGTCCAGCCTGCGGCCCATGGGCCGCATACAGCCCAGGATGACTGAGAATGCGCCCAACACAAAATTGTAAACTTACTTAAAACATTATGAGATTTTTTTTGTGGTTACATGTTGCAATGTATTTAATGTATGTGACAAGACAACTCTTCTTCCTCCAGTGTGGTGCAGAGATGCCAAAAGGTTGGATACCCCTGCTAGGGAATGAGTAATTCTAGTAGTCTGATGAGTAAACTCACCTGCCCTGTTGAAATTGTATTCATCATACTCATTTTTTAAAAATAGAATAAACATAAGCATACAATTTATTTTAAAATAACTAGATCTTGATCTGTGATAGTGTACATTCCTTTAAAATTATGTTTTAAATACCTTTTTGCTTTTCAGTTAAAAAATAAGGAATTTTTAATTCCTTAAAAGTTATTTTTTAAATGATTTTTTGCTTTTCAGTTACAGTCGACATACGATATTATGTTAGTGTCAGGTGTACATCTCATACTCACTTTTGCTTTCTGGCTGGAGGTATGAGAATGGTGTTTGTGGTGATGGTGTTAGTGATGATAGAAATGGTGATTCTAGTAATAAACAGAATTCACCAAAGTCAGGTGTGCCCACAGTGAAACTCCAACTCCAGCCTATTTAGTTGTTTTCTGCCCTGATGAGAATTGAAATCCAGAGCTCACATTTTCACTGCTAAAAGTTTCCCCTTAGCAGAAACCAGGATAACAAGCAAAGGCCAAGTCAAGTGTTAGCAAAGCATAAATCCTTCAAGTTCACCCTGGAAAGAAGGGTGCTGCAGTACTAACCCCAAACTAAACTCTCTGCCTAGGGAAAAGAAAAAGAAAAAGGTTAGTTCATTGGACGTACATAATGTGATGAAACAAAAACAGTTTAAAAATACATGTGATATGTGGGATAAGTCTACTACAGCACGAGAGGCTTTTTTCAGTATGAGCTTATTTACATATTTTAATATTGGGCACTTTTTCCTTACCTCTTCTCAGACAGATTGATGTGTTGGGCCCAATTTTTATTCAGTTGTTTATTCCTTCAACCATTTTTTTAAATTGATACATTACCAGGGACCAGGTCTTGTGCTGGATGCAAAAGGTGACCAGATGAACAAGGACATGGACCTGCCGCAGACCATGCCCTTAGGGTTACATGATGGAGTCATGAGAGAGAAAAATATGAGGGTGTTGAGGTGCCATTTTCTTAACAAGGTCTTGACATCTCTCCTCTCTCCAGAGGCACCTTCATTAATTATATTTTTAGTTAAGAGGCATCTTCATTTAATTATATCTTTAGAAAAGATCATGCACACGATGATAACATCCAACAGTAGAAATGTTCTTAATGAAAAGTGAGTGTTCCTAGTCCTGCCGCGTCATGCCCTTGGTCAGTCAGTCACTTCTGCTTTTAGTTCTTTGCATAGGTATTTCTAAATACTATGTGTAGTCCTTGATTTATAAGTTTTAGATACTATCTATTTCTTATATTGTTAAATGAAGATTTTAGTTCATGTTCACTAATACTGCTTTTCTCTAATCTCTTTCTTCTCAATTTAGTTATCTCTTTTTGTCAAGTTGTGTACTGAGTATCTTTGTAATTTTAATTAATGTGCATGAGCTTTTAGCATCGTTCAATTATATAGATGTATAAATATATTATATATACACATATATATAAAACTTCTTGCTTCCCAACTTTGTAAGATGAAGATGTTTGTGGCCCTATTTTTTCCTTAAACCTCCTTCTCAGCTCCCAAATTCTCCTGTATTCTTTAATTTGTCAGGACTGATAAAATTTATTTGATAACCATAATGAAGCCTTCTGTCATTTAACTATAAGTTGATATTCCATAAGTTGAAAACATTTTCATTATTATTATTTAAATGAAGCCAAATAGCATGTTATGCTATCATTTCATTCTTTATAGCTCCAGTGTGTTCTCTTTGTAACACACATACCAAAAAAAAACAAATGAACTTTAAAAAACAATTTAAAATTCTCAAAAATCAGGCCAAATTTTACCTTGTTTCTATTTTTAGACTGTCTTCCTTGAACATTTTCTCCTAGAATTTCTGATTGGGTCTCTTCTATTTTTGCTGTAAGAAAAAACATGTCTTCTTCATCATATTGCTAATATCTTCCAGCTTCCAATACACTCTTGTCTACTGCTTGGAATCCATCCTATTTCTTTCTTCTTCAACCCACTAACTTCTTTGTCTAATAGAGACCAATTGTGGCTTAAATGAGCCATGAGTTTCCTGTAGTTTATTATCATTTTTGTCCTTCTCAACCTAGCTTATTCCTCTGCATGCTCAGATTCTGCTTTCATATTTCTTTGGGTTGGATCCACATTTTCCTGGATTCCACTTACTCTCTGTGAGTTTCTCACATTACCCCTCTATATAACTCCACCCACATACTAGTATTCTAATAAATAAAATTGCTTACCTTCTTCATTGACTCCCCTCAATGACCTAATGGAGCTTGGAAAAGACCAGTAGGCAACACTGTAATTTAATATTCCAGCACTGATTTACTTCTTTTTTTTTTCTGATTTGTGCTCTGTATTAAAAAAAAAAAAACTTGTCTCTGTCTTCCTTTTTGAATTCGCCTTAGGTACATTGATTTCAAGAACACCAGGTAGACTTCTACCACCAAAGCTATTCGTGTGCTGGAAGCTATTTTATGCCCTATACCATTTGGGAATTCTCATAAGAAATAAATGAAATATATAGACTATAAGCATAGTTGAAGTTAAAAACCACTTCCACTGAGCACATTCCAGATGTTTTTCTTCAGAGACCAACCACTCCAGACCTGTATTATCAATGAAAAAATTAATAGAGGATAAATACATTTTAAAGGGCCCTCCCTTTCCCTTCCCCAAATCACATTATGCAACCGGAGTCTGAAATGCTTGTATTCTCTTTTCAATGATCCTTACCAATGCATTTTTCACTGTCTTTTCTGTGACAGGACCTCAAATCCTGATGATTGCAGTCTTCACTCTCACTGGAACTGTGGTCCTGATCCTGTTGATTGCCCTCCTGGTGCTGAGGTACCTACCACCTGCTCTCTCCTGCTACGCTCATCATCCAGAGAGGGAGGGAGGGAGACAGGGAGAGGTGTAATATCTATTGATGATAATGTATGTTAACGAAGAGGTCTCTAGACAGATGTAAGATCATGGAGGCATTCTGCATCAAAGATGTGTCAAAGGCAGAATATTATTGAGTGGATATATTAGAGCTATGGAGTAAGAGAAACTTGAACTCAAATCCCAGTTCTGTGATTTGCCAGTTGTGTGGTCTTAAACATATTAGCAACTTAAGCATGTTACTTAGCTTCATTATCATCATCTGAACTGTTTAAGGAGTTGAAATGAAGTATGGATAGTGACTACATTATAACAGGCATTTTATAAGTTGAAATAGTTACTTTTGCTGCCTTTTTGGTGTATTGTGGGAAATTTCAAAGTCTCTATATTGATGTTCAGGTTGGAAGAGGCTTTAGAAATCATCTGCTTTAAGCTTTCTAATTGCATGGGATAAGAGAGGCCCAGAAAGCTATATGACTGTTCTGGAATCACATCCCTGGGTAGTGTGTGGGGCCCAAACTAAAATTCAGGCCTTCTGACCAGCAGTTCCATGACTTTTCTATTTAACTTGGACATACAAAGTGCCTAGCACACAGTTCCAGAGACATAGTGTATACTTAGAAGTATTTGTTCAAAATATAATAATGGATGAATATTACATGCCATCCTAATCTGCGTGTGTTAAATACACAGAACTTTCTATCCTATTGCATTATCAGAATAACCTCCCTTTCCTAACCAAACCAGACAATTACTTTCTCTATACATCACATGTTTTGGTCTCTGTCAATATACTTTTTCATAATGAGAGTCCAGCCTGTTGCACGTCAGTGGAAGTTTTCTTCAGGAAAGGAAGGAGGTTATACTCTTCAGTCTGAATGCTCCTATAATTCCGTGTTGCTTGGAAATATAAGTACCAATCTATAGTGTAGGGTGACCATTTAGTTGAGGGTAAGCAGAAACCAAAATTTGGGGAGAGTAAAGCCAGTCATTAGTAGGGCCAAAGATGTGACCTAGAAACCAAGTCTGTATTAGCTTGAGATAGCAGTAAATCACAAGATAAGAGACAGTGACAAGTAGAAATTGGCATTTTCCATTTCCTCTAAATATGGGAGACAGATATAGGGCTTCCTAATAACCAGAACAATAATCCATGAAGTGCTCTAGAAGACAGATGTTACTCTTGTAGTTTTCCATTACAATAGCCTATACAGGAAAAGCAGCAAACAATTTATGGCAGTTCGGTATGAATAACAGTTGGCCTTGTTCAGTCCCAAGAGTTTCTTGGGGTACACAAATGAAAGCCTGGGCACCTTCAAGGCCTTAATACTCACCCTACTTTCCTTTAGGTCTTAGAGTCATTGTCACTGGTCAATAATGTCCTATTTTATATGTATTTAATAGAGGGTTACTCAAAGTTAGATGGAAGCATAGGAAGAGAATAATTATTTCTGCTAATGGACATTAAGAAAGGCATTATGAATGATCTTGCAAAGGTGAGTAGGGGTTTGTCAAATGCAAACTCATGGACATACAAATAGGTCAATGGAGAAGAATATAGATTCTAGAATCAGATACAAGCAAGCATGAGAATTTGAATTATTTTAGGGGTGACATTGTTCCATATGGAGTTTTAAGTATATAAGGACCTAAAATGTGAAAATCAAACTTCAAAACTGAGCAGAAATTAATAGAAAATGACTTTACGATCTCAGGTTTGAGAAGTATTTCTCAGTCAAGATAAAAAAAAGTCATAAAAGAAAAAATATAACCATGGACATAATGAAATCAAAAGTATCTAATAAAACAAAGTTAGAATTAACAAACTAGAAGGTATTTTCAACATGTAACAGGACAATGGATTTGTTAGGCAGACTATACAAGCAATTCACATAAGTTAATAAGAAAATAACAATTCAATGAAAAAAGCAGACAGAATTATAAATAGATAATTATATAATTCTATACAATCTATAAAATAGCTAGAAAATATTTGAAAAGATAATCTCTTAAGTGATCAAGAAAATAAAGGGCAAAGCAACAATTAAACACCATTTCACATACATCATAATGGTCAAAAACGTTTGACAATACTAAATATTGTTCAAATACAGAGGAAACAGCATTTTCATGATGGGAGTTTACTTTGGGAAGCAGTTTGGCAGTACCTGCAAATTTGCAAGCAAGCATCTCCTACAACCCCGGAATTCTACTTTAACCATACTCTCTGGGGAAAACAATTACAAAACTTTGACATTTTGAATGTTGGGATGCATATTGTTACTATTTCTCTGTGCTTTTGTATTTTTTTATATGTATGTTTTAAATGGTACATATGCATAAGAGGACCTGGCTTATTTAGGAATTTGGTATATTCTCTGGTGTTTTAAAAATTAATGTTTTTGTCTTTTAAGGTTATCAGTTTTAAGTTTTTTTCTCTCCTCCCCCCGCCATTCTTTTCATGTCATCTGCTCAGATTCCTTATTCTAATGAAGGACTGTATTAGTGAAGGACCTGAGAAAGTAAAACAAAAAGTAAAAGAAAAGACTATAAAAGACCATCAGAAATCCTTACAAGTTCACTAATGGCCAGCACTCGCCAGATAGGAGAACACGGAGTTATGATTGGGCTAGCCTCATTCATCACATTGCTACCTGAGAATCTCAAGCTTCTAAATTTCTCCCAGTGTTCAGAAGCTGGATGACATGAATACTAATAAAAAAACCTATTGACCGGTTTTATTCCTTTCACAGAAAATATAAAAAAGAAAATGAACTTCGTCAGAAAAAATGGTCCCACATTCCTCCTGAAAACATCTTCCCTCTGGACACCAATGAGGCGAACCAAGTTAGTCTGAAGGTAAGGCACACCTTTCTTTTGAAGAATTCTATTTAGACCTAGGGCAACTCACCAGGTATTTGACAAGACATTGGTAGTGTTGTAGAAGATGTGCCAATCAGGAATCATTTGCTTCAGAATCCAAGATTTAAATGTTATTTCATTCACAGTTTGAAATGTCCCTAACAGGTAAATTTTAACCAATATTATAATAGATCACAGGTTTTTATAAGAATTAAGTTGAAAGGTCCAATAGTTCTCAATCTTTCTTCTGCTTTCACACCAGAAGTCTGGCAGACCAAGGGCCACATCTGGCCTGCAGAGGGGTGTGTGTTGTGTGTGGGTATGTGTGTGTGGGGGGGGGGGGTGTGTAGGGGAGGGCATGTCAGTACTTATCATCTTTTAAAACTAATTGCCAAATGTAAAAACCTTGGAATGTCATAGAAATATTCATAGGACCAGCTTCTTCTGACACTTCAGATCATCCATCAAGTCAAGGCTGCACCCAGAGTTGGTGGGGTTGCCCCCTCAGACACCTAGCCCAGTGCCCTTCCTTGCCTTGCTACTTGGGCATTTAGCCATGAGTTTGCAACTCAGATGCACAACATGTTCCCCTAAGAGCAGCTGTCTGTAGCTACAGGCAATGATTCCCAAAAGGAGGGGGCAGGGGAAGAAGGAAGCAAGAAAATCCCTGGCTGGAGTAGACCACAAGAAAAAGCAAGGGACAGTGGAACTCTTCAAAGGAAGGGAAGAAAACCCAGAGTTAAGCATGAGAATAGTAGATACCCTGAAAGAAGATATTATGGAGGGGAAAGGTGAGTTGTGAGAGAGAAACCCAAGTCAATTAAGACAGTTTTCCTGGGAGCCTGCCCAACATGCTATGAGCAAACCACAGACAGATACAGCCCACCTGGTAGAGCCTCTCAGCCTGTGACTGGCAGTGGATGGGACAAGATATAAAGCTTCTGGAATAATTAGCCTTTTCTTGTGCCAGATCGATGACGACAGGAGACGAGATACAATTCAGGGACTACGACAGTGCAAATACGACAAAAAGGTGACTGCTTCTCTGAACTCTCAGTTAGGGGTGTGGTCTGGGCCTTCTGGCTCATCACTGCCCCACTTCTGGTGGTGGCAGTGCTAAGGTGGGGGTGGGGGCCGGGCTGCACCCAGGGCCTGTTCTTGGAGCCTTTCACAGGGATGGGCAGGGCCCTGATTCAAGGGTTACAAACTTGCAATCCTGGGAAAAGTAAACAACACAGAATTTTTAATATGAGTGGAGTGTAGGAAGCAAAAGGAAAAAAAAAATATGCAGAGCAGTCCAGGCAACCCTAGTATTATATTTTGGCTCATGCAGTGGGAATATGACAATTTCACATCTGGTGGTTGCTCCTTCCCTTCCCCTCCCCCTCCTTCCCCCCTTCCCTCTTCCCTGCCCTCCACTTCCTGTCCCCTCCCTTCTCTTCCCTCTTCTCCCTTCCTTCCCCCTCCTCTCCCCTCCCCTTCCCTCTCCTCTTCTTCCCTTCCTCCTTTCAACTTTTCATCATTCCTTCTCAAAGAAACATTCAAATCTGAGCCTCTCATATCCCAGGTACAAGGCACCAGGGACAGAAACATCAACAAAATACTGGTCACTGTTCTCAAGAGCTTAAAATACAGTGGGAAGATAGACACACAAACAAAATACTATAAAATGCATATAAATAATCATGCCACAACATTATCTTCTTAATTCAATTGATCTTCACAGAGGGTGATTCTTAAGGATTTGAAGCAAAACGATGGCAACTTCACTGAGAAACAGAAGATAGAATTGAACAAGGTACGTGTGTCCCATGCTTGGAACCCTTAAGTGAGAAATGGCTTCCACTGCATTTTTCCTAAGCCCTGAGGTCCCTGGTGGAGCAAGGCATTGCTGGGGGTGCTCACAGAAAAGCCCTGAGGCCAAGAAATGAGCGACTAGGCTCCTTCCTGCTGAAAACTCTCCTAACAGATGTTGAAGGGTGACGTTCGATGGTGTAAACATGTTGGAAATCTACTAGCATGTCCTACAAAATGGTCCTGATATTATTTGGGTGTAGTCAAAGGTTTGTATTCAAGTCCCCTTGCTGACAAAACAGAGGCTGTTTATTAAGGTGCAGTGCAATATGTAATATGAAATGTACTTACATCCCAGTGTATGAAGAGCAATTCATCTTCCCAGAGATCTGAAACACATGTTGTATTAGCATAGTAATATTCACTCTGGCACTCCTTTCTGGCTGACTTGCTTTGTAAATAAACATTGTTATCTTAGTTGCTTCAGATTGACTATTACAACCTAACCAAATTCTACGGGACGGTGAAGCTTGATACCATGATCTTTGGGGTGATCGAATACTGCGAGAGAGGATCCCTCCGGGTAAGGAACCATGATCATTCCCAACTTCCTAACTAGTCAACCATATGGAAAAAAAAAATCTAATAGAAGTTTTAGATATTCACCCAGTGAAATAATATCGGAGAGTTAGCAGGAAGGGTTGGTGTGTCTATATGTTACCTAACTGGATCACTCACATTTTGTCAATCAGTCTTATTATATCTTTACCAAAAAATAATAATAATAAAATAAAACAAACATTCAGGAATGTAGACTTGAAAAAACAGAGAACAAATGTTGGAAAGTAAACAATTACTCTAAATTTATCTTATTTTACTTCCATATCTACTTGATTTGTGTTAAAAGAAAATTGGATGATCATTATGATAGCACCAAATAAGCATTAGGAAACTTGTTCACAAGTCCTGGTTCTGGAACTGTATAAATTCCTGCCATCCCTTCCCTTGCAAGGATAGCCAAGGTGTTGCCAGGTCGGGGCAGGTACATGGGCTGAGAAGGTTCAAGCAGAAAAGAAAGTAAGACAGCACTAAGCCAATTTCTTGAAAATAACCAAATATCAAGTAGGAATATCAAATCATTAACTAGTTCAGAAGGGCAGGTATTTACAAGAAACAATCATTTACAAAAAAGACAAATTTAGGTGTGAGGCAGAAACAGGGCTGAGTGGGAAACGGGTAGAGGAAGGAAGGAATGGAGGAGAGTTGCTTCAAGGAGCATAGAAATATTTGAACCTCACCTTGAGCAGTTTCCAGGCATGCGTTCTGATGGCTTTCAACCTTTTAAATACCTTTGGGTAGGTGACCATTTCAGGATACTTTGAGAGTAAATTGGGTACTATAATAATTGTTGGAATAGCAGATGTAAATTGCAACTGACCTCGCACAAACCAGGATGTGTGGTTACCCTGCCTTTTGCACTATTTTTGGACCTGGTATAACCTCAATGCTCTGCCCCTAAACAAAGCCAGACTCTCAGACTCTTAAGATTGAGGGGCAGTATCTGCTTCAAAGAGGTCTAAATATTCATAATTCAATAATGTTTAAAAATAATGTTAAAAATTTAACCCCTTAGAAATTTTTAATTTTTAATAAGTCTCTATAAAAAATAAACAATAAGAATGATAGTTTATTGGGGCAAAGAACCTGAATAAACACTTCTCCAAGGAGGACATACAAATGGCCCAAATACATATGATAACATGCTCAACATCACTAGCCATTAAAGAGACGCAAATTAAAACCACAATAAGATATCACCTCATACCAGTCAGAATGACCATCATTAATAAATCAACAAACAACATGTGCTGGCAAAGATGTGGAGGAAAGGGAACCCTAGTGCACTGCTGGTAGGAATGCAGACTGGTGCAGCCACTGTGGAAAACAGAATGGAATTTCCTCAGAAAACCAAAAATGGAACTGCCATTTGACCCAGCAATTCCACTGCTGAGAATATATCCCAAGAATCCCAAAATACCAATTCCAAAGAATTTACATACCCCTGTGCTCATAGCAGTGCTATTTACAACAGCCAAGATGTAGAAAAAAACCCAAGTGCCCATTAGTAGATCAGTGAATGAAAAAACTGTGGTACATTTATACAATGGAATACTACGCAGCAGAAAAAAAGAAGGAATTCCTGTCATTTGCGAGCATGGATGGAACTGGAGACTTTTATGCTGAGTGAAATAAGCCAGTTGGTGACAGACAAATACTATATGATCTCACTTATAATAGGAATCTAATGAACAAAATAAACTAACGAACAAAACAGAGTCGGAGGCACAGGAACATGGAACAGTCTGACAGCAGTAAGAGGGGAAGAAGGAGGTAGGGTCTGACTGAAAGAAGGTGAAGGGATTAGTCAAAGAGCATATATGAAGGCACCCGTGGACATGGACAACGTGTGGGCATTGACTATGGAAGTGGGGAGCAGGCTGGGTAGAGGGGAGAAAATGGGGAAAAAATTGAGACAACTGTAATAGCATAAACAATAAAACATTAATGAAAAATAAGAAATAATAAAAATAAATTCTGATTGTCAAAAAAGAAAAAGAATAGTAGTTTTCAAAATGTATAGCATAAACTCAAGTCGTCAAAGGGAAAAAAAAATCCTAGCCCTAAATCCTACTTTTTCATTTATAAAAAATAAAATAATCCAAGTATTTAATATTGAGAATAATAACTATGACCTAAGGAAAAGAAACTTTCAAAGTCAATCATTATAAAATAGGTAAAATATTAAATTTACTTATGAGTTGGTTGTTTTTTTAAAAAAACTATAAAACATACATGCCTTCACACTTCTAATTAAAACTTAGAACAAATGTAAAATAAACAGAAATAGGAATAAAAAATAAAACTATGGAAAAGATGCTTTCAACTGTGAAAAAATACTTCAAGGCTATTAAATTATAAAATAAAAAAAATTTTTAGAAACAATATAATCATGAAAACTTGACTCAGAAAGTAAAAACTTCAGTAGGCCAATAACAAGAGAAGAAATTATAATTTCCATTACAAAGAATACCAGCTTCAGCTTAATTCTGAACTTCAATGAATATTTAATTCTCTGTTCTAAAGTTAAGTGAAAACATGAACATCTAAATTCATTTAACATTCGACAATGCTAGCATAAAGTTAATAATAAAATATGATTAAAAACTGTATTTAGGAACATTGATGAAAAATTTTAAGTAGAATAGTAGTAACTCTAAGCCAGGTGTATATAAGGAGCATAGTACAATCAGATATGGTGAATTCTATGAATGGAAAAAATATTACTCTAATACAGCATATCAACAGGTCATAGGAAAAAGACCAAATGATCATTTTAATCGATGCTAAAAAAGATCACCTAAATCAAAAATTTGTCATTTAAATATTTCTAAAACAATTATATGAGAGCTATCCCATTCCCTGATTTATTTAACTTCAATGAGACAGCAATTTCAGAATACCAGTTAACAAAGGCTGGTCAAAGGGCTTCCCAGAGTCTTTTATTCCCTAAAATGCCCAGTGAACATCTAGATATCACATCCACAGCTTTTGTGGCTCTCTATCCTCAAGCAGGAAACTTCAGTTATCTGTGTGGTCCTGGGCCCCTTCTGACATTGCTTACCCACTTGGGTACAGACAACAGAAGCGTCTTCAGGAAACCACTCCTTTGTACCGTGAACCTCAAAGCAAAGGCTGTGCAAAGGCAAGTGGCAGTCCCCTCCCTGCGTCACTCCTTCAGGTTCCAACCATGACAAATCCCATCAGAATCTGCTTTTGTGGGGAAACAGATGAGAAAGTCTTTCCCTAGATGGGGTAAAGGCAATATGCTTCCCAACTTAAAAATATACAATAACCTCGGCTAACCTTGTTTAGGAACAACTGATTCATTCATGCAACAAATATTTATTAAACAAATATTTATTCCAGCCAGACACTGAACAAGATGTTGCAGAGACATCAGTGAACAAAAATTAGCACAGTGTTTACGTGTTTGTGAGGTGAAGAGATAATAAACATAAACAAAATATAAACTATGTCAGTTGCTAAGGGGAAGAATTACTTTAAAGTCTATCTACTCATAACTTTCCTCCCTTAGCTCACCCTGGTCCATATGGCCCTGCCATCCTCATCTGAAATAAGTTATGACTTGGGACCCTTCTCTGGAAATTATTCTTATAGTGCCTAAGTTAAAACTAAAGGTCAAATTGGGCTTTTCCCCCAAAGGAGAAACTATTGTTAGGTTATTAGAATTTTACTATGAAGAATAGCTATTAGCTTAGAGGCATCATCTTGTTAGAACCATCACCATGTTAAAACAGTGAGTTCAAAATTATAGGTCATAGAATTCACACAAAATTCAGGATCTCTGTCTGACAGAGGACTTAGTTAATTTAAAATAAAAAACACCTGGAACTATAAAGCCAGTGGATGCAATTGATCATGTGAGTAAAAATGTAAGCCCAGTGAGTGAATTTTCTAACAGCAGTTCCATGTTTAAGAACACTGGTGCGATGTGATGAGACAGGACCTGCAGCCCCGTGATGTGTGGTTGAGGCTCACCAGCCTTCTCCAGACAAGCATCTGCTCCTCTGCTCCTTCGTGAGCCCTGTCAGATGGAAGAACCAGGATTTGGGATTCTATGGGTATCTCTTGCTCCTGTGCTTTTCATGAAAGCCACCTCATAGAACTTAAGTAGGAAAGAAAAGAAATGCAAGGTAGGGCAAAATAGGTTTAACAGCTGGTCGTATGGAAAATAATACAATAATTTAAAAAAAAAAAAATTTTACCCTTTGAGGCAACATGGGTGGATCTGGAGAGCATTATGCTAAGTAACAAAAGCCAGACAAGAGGCTATGATTGCACTCATATGTGGAATCTAATGAACAAAATTAAGTAACAAGCAAAATAGAGACAGACTCATAGATAGCAGGCATACAGCTGTGTGTGGTGGGGGGAGGGGAATTGACCAAAAACAACAAAAAAAGAAAATAATACAATAATTAAGAATAAACTCTGTTTCATGTACTCCCAACTGTAAACTTACTTTTCCCCCACCTTGTGTAGTTCAGAAAAGCCAAGACAACGGAGTTACAGTTTGTTCCTGAACCCAAGACCTCATGATTATAAGATCATTATTTGCCTGTAATAGTCTCTCCATAATATCCCTCCTAATGACAACAACTCATCTTCCTTTCCCTTTTCTCTTGTTCAGGAAGTTTTAAATGACACAATTTCATACCCTGATGGTACATTCATGGACTGGGAGTTTAAGATCTCTGTCTTGTATGACATTGCTAAGGTAAGAGGCCTACAGACACAAAACACATGTAGAAAGTTAAATGCAGGAAGACAGATCTAGCAAGTGATTCAGCTTCTCTGTGCATTTATTTCTTCATCTGTAAAATGAAAATAAAAATAGTAGTTATGTTATAGAGTCATTGTGAGTGTTCATGAAATAATTGCATAAGGCCTGGTACAAGTAAACGTGAATATATATTGGTTCCTATTATTCTTATTTTATTCTTTCTACTCTGGATTTGAGGCACAAATTTTCATAGAGCTTCTGGAAATAAAAACCATATAATGCTTCAAGGAGAACAACTGAATCTTCAACTTTACAAGAGAAAATATTAAGGACATGCAAGCATCTTTAATGAGGCAGTAATAAATTTGAACATGTATATACCCACACATGGGAATACCAGTAACCAGGGCCTCATTCGAGAATGAAGAAGATTCCAGAGAGTGAGCAGTTTGATACAGTCTTCAATCTCCTGAAAGTCCCAAAGGATCAGAATCAGTGTGGAAAATGTTATATGATATCCCTTTTGCCACATCACTCCTGTGTTCCAGGCTGAAAACCAATTTCTGCAATGACACCTCTGGCCACCAGAGGGAAGCACATCAGCGGAAAACTGGTTTCCCCTTTCAAAATAGAATAAAACCCTTGAAACTTTAGGAACTAACCTAGCCTTGCCCTTCCCTTCAGAATAACAAGGCATTATTATGCATATTTTTGAACTGAGGTAGCAAAGGACCAAACATACCTAAGTTCACATACCAAATGAGTGGTACGTGAAAAAACTTTAAGAAAATAGGGTCAGCCTTTGCTTTACATTATATATAACTACTTAAACAGAATATTTAGACAATTGATTTTTACTCTGTCACCTAAATAGATTTCAAAACTGCATGTAGTGCTTAGGCATACATTAGGACCTTAGTATTTTAAAAGTAAAATTAATGGAACTAAGTTTAATATCTGATAATGTGATTCTACATGCATGCTGAAATGATTTCAAAATGTCAATTTTTTTTTATTTAAATAATCAAACAAATGCAGAGTGTCTTATCTCTTTGTTTTCTTGTCTTCCAAAAAATTGCAGGGGATGTCATATCTGCATTCCAGTAAAACAGAAGTCCATGGTCGTCTGAAATCCACCAACTGTGTGGTGGACAGTAGAATGGTGGTGAAGATCACTGATTTTGGCTGCAATTCCATTTTACCTGCAAAAAAAGGTTTGTAATGTAATTTTAACCAGTTTCTCACTGGTCTTTTTTTTTTTTTTTTTTTTTAATTTTCTCACAAGCCCACAGAATGTGCTCAGGGAAACAGTGATATTGATCAGAAAATGAACACTTGGAGCCACAGGAGGCAACAGCTGGCTGTTCTCCAGCACTTCAGCCTTGTCAGTTTTCACCAAGTGCTTCTTGAGTTGAACAAATCTTCTCTGTGGATTTCTTTCATCCATGTCCTTTGATATCAGTGAGAAATCATGAAGAACTTATTAGCTTGTAGAGGTCGAACTGAGTGGAAAATAAAATATGTTAGAGTAGTAAGAGACCTTAGAAATCATGGTCTAACCTACTTTCTTTATAAAAGACAGAGGAAAGGGTCAAAGAGGCCAAGAGATCTTCCCACGTAGCTAGAATACAAGACAGATGACCTGTTTCCAAATTCTTGACATCATTTATTTATCTGTGATAGTGATTAGGGAAAAAAAAAACTCTTATCAGTAAATTATATTCTTATCTCTTTTAAGATTGTGATAAGGTTCAAAAAAGTAACACAAAGAAAGATAACTTGTGAAGTATAAAGAGTTTTCATGTTGAATATTTTCCCACTCTTTACTATAACTCAGGGTTATAGACTCAGAAATCTAACATTCATATATGTATGATTCAAAATAGATCCAAACAGTAAATTCTATTTTTTAATTTTATTCTGCAATCTGTTAGCTTTTCCTTAATAGAAGAAAATTGTAATTCTTCCCCTATTTCTTCAATCATATCAAGCATGCTAAGACATTGGACTCAACCCAGTAAGGGCTTGTTGAAGACCTACTATGCCCCAAGCATGGTCCATCGGGTAGTAGAACAAATCTCCTTCACTAGAGGACTCACCACGACAGAAAATCAGATGAATTACATTACAGGTCACATCCTATCCTCCTGAACATCACTCAGTTACACCTACCTATCCGTGCTGTTGGTCATCTGAATTTTAGCAGAAGTAGATGTACCTACCTTTCTTACAGCCCCAAACGATTAGGATCAACTGTGCATGAATCACAAATCACATTAAGTCACAAGACATAAATTCAAAAAGGCAATGAACATTTGGATGAAAAACCACGTGAGGAAAATTATGCCTTATCATAAGCCTATCACTGTACCCAACAACATGAATCCATAGATTTTTTTCATCAAAGCTGCTAAAGATACAAATCTCAAAAGGTTTGCAAGGAGCTAGGTGATCCTGGAAAACCATCTAGGAATGTTAAAGAAAAAAATGGCATGTCCTGTTATCGCTAAATACGATATGTGATTGGGGTCTAAAACCCAAGTGTCTGCAGGAGCCAAACAGAACACAGAGCACTTCACTTGTCTGGTGCAGTCTAGATGGAAAGCATTAGGGAGCAGCAGGTGCAGTAGTAAACCAAGAGTAAACTGTATGCATTATGTTTGAAGGAATACTGAGAGATCCAAAGAAAATGCATCGACACGCAGTCGCCAACTTGGGGGCTGCCAGTATGTCACAGCTGGAAAATATCAGTGATAGGCTCTTTGTTTCAGTGTGCTGCCTTAATTAATGTAAACATTTTATATTATATAAAAATATAAATATTTTGCATATTTACAAAGGCTTTCCTAGGATTATGCCATATGTCCCATAAGCTGTTAAATCCTCTCAGCCTCTCATATTCTAGAGCATTCATTCCACAAATCTCTATGAGCAGTTCTTATCCTCCAGGTGCTACTCTAGGTAGACCTTGAGGGGTTCAGGACTATGATCCTAGCAGTTTTAGGGAAGACATTACCATATGACCTCACCCAAATCCTGATATTACATAGCCAGCTTGAAAGGTAAGTGAGTGTTCTACTCTTAACACCATTATTAGCATAAATGCCTCAAAAGTTTGGGGCCATATAAACTCAAGGCCACTCATATTCAGAGCGCATGGTGTAGGGACTTTAAGAACAAAAGCAGAGGTGCAGCTGCCTGCCGCCACAAAAGCCAAACTTGTGAGGTATGTGCTGGCGCAAAAGGAAAGGGGCGTATTCAGGTGCCACACATCCGGAGAGAATGGTGGGCTCCCATCTCAAAGACCATTTCCTCTTTCTGTCATGGAAAAAGTCCAGCTACCCTCAGCAAGGCTGAGACAAAAGGCAGTGTCCAGAGTTCTTGCTCCATTTTAAAGTACAGTCCTTTGGAGCCCACAAGCAGCTGCGAAGCAGCCTTAGTCACCTGCCAGGCAGCTTAGCTTGTATCCAGCTGCTGTCCATTTCAGGCTCCCTCCTGGAGCCTGCGTGTGGAGCCTGTATAGCCATAGGCCGTGCAGCCGCTAATGCCACCTGGTTGCATGCTCCTGGGTGACTGAGCATGCAAACACACCAGCAAGAGCATCATCAGGTGGGCAACTGAGAAAGAAAGAGAGGCTCCCTCCCTGAGGCCTTGGGCCACGTGGCTGCTAAGGTGAGAACAGGTGAGCGCACCGTGTGAGTGCCAGTCACAAACCAGAGCAAGGTTCTTTGTCCCCAGGGATTAGATTAGTTTGGCTGTGGGACAGGCCAGGTGCTTTCTCACAATGACCAATTAACTTCCCAAATTTTGCTCACTTTGGGTGGGTCCACCTCCCAACCAATCCCTTCTTTTCCCAGGCTAGACTGGCAGGCCTCTTTGGTCACCACTTCTGTGGCGTGTGTGCCTGCCTTCCCCTGGTCCTACCCCCAATCTGGTAAGGGGGGAGGGGATAATTTTCTCTATCCAGTTATCTTGCTAGCTTTTCACACTCTCAGTGTAAGAAGCTCCCTGCTGCCACCAGCCTGGCCAGTGGAGGAGAGACTCCCTGGCCTTTCGACAGACCGTCTACCAGTAACAGTTGGAGCCTACGGGCTGCTCACCCCCTTTAACTTTGCAATCTCCATGCTGAATGCCCAGACCTGTGGACAGCCCCGGAGCACCTCCGCCAAGCCAGCATCTCTCAGAAAGGAGACGTTTACAGCTACGGGATCATTGCACAGGAGATCATCTTGCGGAAAGAAACCTTTTACACACTGTGCTGCCGGGACCAGAATGGTAAGAGTCTGACCCCTTCACCTGCCCCCTCTTGGAGCCAGCCAACCTGCATTCCAGGCCAACAGAGATCGAATCTATGTGACCCCATCTCTGTCCCTGCAACTGCAAACTTGAAACGTTTCACGGGGATTGCGGAAGGATTAGATGACGGCACGGCTGTTCAAGCGCTCTGAAAAGCGTTAGACAATACACCACTGCCAGGTGTCCATTGTTAGTTAAAGAACTCTCCCTGAAAATTCCCCTCTTTCCTCCTGATTGCAAACAGCCACGTGTCTATTTAACACCTTAACTAGCTCACTCCAGTGAAACAACATATATATTTTAGTTCTTACCAATATCTGTAGCCTTTGTCACATGTCCTCTGGTGGGGGGTGGGGGGAAATGTTTCATTCCATTCATTCAGCCCTCACTTACTGAGCACTTGTGCCAGTTCTTAACTGCCCGGTGGGGCGGGGCATAACTAGGGGATGCTGGTGCTGCCGGCTAGGGTCCTGGGCGGAGGACGCCCTCCGAAGGCAGTGGTACCTGGGTTGAGCTTTATAGGGTAAGTAGCCTTAACTTAAGGTAGCCTCCTGGGTAGTGAGTGGGTACGAGACCCCTTGGCCGGAAACTCAGTCACTCATTCAGCATCTATCATCTACCTACTGAGCACGGGCCCAGGCTCTACAGCACTCCCACTGGGCACCCATCCCCAGCCAGTGAACCGGTTCAGATCTGCTGCTAAAATTTCTTCCTGCTGTATTCTTTCTTGTAATTTGAATTATTCTCGTCCCATCAGAAAAGATTTCTAGAGTGGAGAATTCCAATGGCATGAAGCCCTTCCGCCCAGATCTGTTCGTGGAAACAATCGAGGAAAAAGAGCTGGAAGTGAGTTTCTTTGGGCCTCTGTAACAAATAACCACAAACTTCCTAGATTAAAACAAGAGCTTTATATTCTGGACACCAGAAGTCTGAAATAAATTGTCAGCAAGATCATGCTCCTTCTAAAGCCAGGGTTCCCAACTCCCACCCCACCCCCAGGCCACGGACCCTACAGTCGTGGCCTGTTAGGAACCTGGCGCCCAGCAGGAGGTGACCGGCTGGCCAGCGAGCAAAGCTTCAATGGCATTACCACCTGAGCTCCACCTCCTGTCTCCTGCACCCCCTGGAAAAATTGTCTTTCACAGAAAACCGGTCCCTGGTGCCAAAAAGGTTGGGGACTGCTGCTAAAGGCTCTAGGAGAGAACCATTCCTTGCTGCTTCCAGAAACATCTGCTGGCTGACATTCCTTGGCTTGTGGCCCAAATATTCCAATCGCTGACTTGGTGGTAGTCATGTTCTTCCCTCCTCTCCTAATTTCCCTCTACCTCCCTCCTGTATAAGGATATATGTGACTACATTTGGACCCACCAAGAAAACCCAGAATCTCAAGATACTTAATTTAATCATGCCTGCAAAGACCCTTTTTCCAAACAAGGTACCATGCACCGGTTCCAGGGTTAAGACAAGACATAGCTTTGGGACAGCTCTGGGACCGTCATCAGCCTGCCGCCCTTCCATTGCCCCTTTCCACCCCTCCCAACTCAGGGAACAGCCGGTTCCTTAGGCACCCATCGCCTCCGCAATTTCTAGGAGTCAACAGAGCAAGATGTCTATGTGAAACACTGACTAGGCTTATAAACACTGCCTGGTGATTGAAAAATAAGTATGCCAACATCTAGAAACAATAGGGAAATGTGCTTTGACTCCTTTCATCTGTCATCTGAAGGAAGCTGAGCTTTTCTCTCTTCATTTGTTTAATTTTTTTATAATCCTTCACAAAAGCCTTTAGAGCCTGTGGGAAAAGATTCTAAAATTTTTTTTAGAATTTCATCTGAGCTTTTATAATCCCCAAAGAGAGTAAATAAAGTGTTTTAAAAGTTTTTATGGTCTTAAAAAAACACCTTTTGTTGTTCCTTGTGGGGTAAGGATAACAATGTTTTCCTTCAAGTTTATAATCACCCTCCCAGGTGAGGTTTTTGGCCAACCTACCCAGGCAAGAGTGGGCTATTTTTAACTCTCCTCTCCTCTTTCAACATTAAAGGCAGGTTGTAGTCCCAAGCTTCTAAAATAGAACTGCTCCTACCCTTGTCTTACTCCACCCCACAACACTCCACTTTCCTGGATCCTGGGATTCCTCCCCACACGTCAGCATATCCCTTCTCAACACTCCTGTCTAGTCTGAGTATAGCCACGTGTTGCTTATAGTATTTTTCACCAAAGTATTCTCCTCCTCAAGTCACTTGTGTAGCTGGGTGGTTCTGGAATTGGAAATCAGAAATAAGACTTCATACCCAGCAGCTGATTCCCATAGAATAGAGGCCTGAAATTAGAGGACTTGCCAATGCCCCCTGAGCACCTGCTATTTCACTTGGCAGTGCTGTATGAGCCCATGTGTGGGTTGCTTCTGTCCACACCTCTCTAAGGCCGTCAGTAGATCATGTACCAGGGCAGGGGCATCATCTCGCGGCTGTACTACACATCCAGTCGTTCCCAGGGCCTCGCTGAGGCAAAGAGCGTGGGCACTGCCTCTAATACCATTTGTGATCCTATTTTGGGGCAGCGTAAAGAACAAGCTTTATACAACACAGTTTTCTCCATGCTTTTTGATCCAACCAAAGCTGCAAACAAGTGGTAGTAAGTGAGATAATGTTTCCGTGGGCTTCCTCATGTCTCCCTCTTCCTCTGAACCTCCCCTTCCTCACTTCTCTTGCATATATGTAATAATAACATATAATATGTATCATAAGAATTATAATTATGATATTACATGTAATTATAATATGATATGTAATTATATTACAATAGGTAATAAATATTATATCCGATATGTAATAATAATAATTATATATATTATTGTCTTTTTGCCCCTACAATATTTGGAATGTACTTACGCTAAAGAAAGTATTCATTGTTTATCTGAAATTTGAGTTTAACTAGGTGTCCTATGTTTTTATTTGCTAAATCTGAAAGCCCTGAAGCCACTTCTCCCACCAATTAAATCAGAATCTCCTAGGGTGGAGCCTGGGCAAAAAAAAATTGTAAACTCTCCCCAGACAATTCCACTATTAGCCATGGTTAAAAAATGTTGTTGAAGTACCTCATTCTTACTGATATTCACCATCTCATACTCACTGAACCCCAACTGTTTCTTATTCTCCCCAACATACACCCTGCAAATGCCCGTAAAGCATTTTGTCTCTCCCATCAATTTTGTCTTGTCCAAATCAACATTACCTTTTTCATTAATGCAATGTCGACAGGAAGGGCGTAGGCAAGGTGCGCAGGTGGCGATACCCAGGACACATTGCAGACAACTGGGCTAGCTCAGCCTCATTGTGAGAGTTGAGATTTTTAAAAATATACCCTGCCTCAATTATTCCCATCATGGAAGAAAATAGGGTAAGATACCACTGTCTGAGCTTATTCCCCACTTCTCTCTTTCAGGTATATCTACTCGTAAAAAATTGCTGGGAGGAAGATCCAGAAAAAAGGCCAGATTTCAAGAAAATTGAGAATACACTGGCCAAGATATTTGGGTATTGCTGAAATTTTTACTTTTCTTTCACCAACTTCAGGTTTTTCTAATAATAGTTGACATTCAGTAGCACCTAAAAATGAAAATGACTATTCTAATAAAAAAAAAATCCTGTCACGGGATTTTTTTTCAATAAATTCAATAAAAAAGTGAAAAAGAAGGAAATAACGAAAAAACCCAGCCTGCAACACCTGTCTCAAAAAAATTAAAATTATATAGAGACTAACAGACCATTTTCTCAAGGAAATAATCACTTGAAAAGTTAAATAGTGAAGAGCAAAACTTGCCTAATTAGAAGTTATATTCTAACTAATAATAAATATGTCTAATAAAATATAGTTCCCTGGCCCTTCTGTGGGTAATCAGAATTTAGAAGTGTACTATGGGTCCTGGAAATCTGTAAAGTCCTTGAATAATTCTTAAGATCTGCAAGCTTCTTGAAATTTTAAAAATCTTAGAGATCAGCAACTTTGGCTCTAGGTACACAAGACCTGAGCCATTAAGCAGGTTATAATTCAGGATTTAAAAAAAGTAACACACAATTATCCAGAAATTCTAGATTTCTCGTGTTCTCTGTTAGATACAATACTCTGCTGGAGTGAGAAAGATAACACTGGAGTGAGAGAGGAGATCCTGTTTCGACACTAGGCTCCAAAGAATAGCCTGCTGTGGGGCATGGAGCAAAACGCTTATCCTAATTAGGTGTCAGTTTTCTTGTTAGTAAAATTGGACTGAACAAGATCCCTTCCACAATCCCTTCCAGAGCTAACTTTCTGTAGTTCTCACTAAGTTATTCAGATAGTTAATGAGGTTAAAAGCCTGGGGCTGGAGATGAGGTAGAGTGAAGTTAATGAAAGTGTGGTCATTGATTTTGTAGATCTTAAACTGTCATTTGGGGGAAAGGAGCAGGAAATAACAGGCGACTTAATGCTCGCCCACTGTCCCTTCCTTCACAAAGCTGTTACTAAGAGAAGATGAGATGATATGTATGACAGATGAAATGTAAACTCTTGAACACAAACGGGGCCCCTGATAGTGTGCCCTAGAGAACCTGGTGTAATTGGTCTGGGGAGCAGGCTGACATTATGAGTTTTAATAGCTCCTTAGGCGAATAAATTTGCAGCCATGGTTAAGGAAACTTTTAATTGAATCTACTCATCATGAAGATCTCCATCTTCATCCCTTACACCTGCTCCCTCATCCTTTCTACCAACTAGACTCTATACCATGTGTTTCTAGTAAGGGTCCCTTGGGGAACTCATTTAAAAATCCTGTTCCTTAACCCCAAACCTATCCCTTTCCAGTCATATCGGTCTGCAATGGGACTCAGAAAAGTATTGAATTTTTAAAAAACCTCCCTCCACACCCCAGAGCATTGTGATGTAGGCCATCTTTCTCCTTGAGTGTGGAGGTGGTAACTTATTGTTGTTGTTGTAATAATGAAATGGTATGCTTCGTTCAGACCCTGCGAGTGTGCCATATATAGCGCGAACATTATTTCTGACCCCCACAGCAACTCCGCAGTAGCTCCGCCTGCCTCTGACCCAGCTCTGCACCGAATCTTGGCATGTGCCCCGGTGTCCCAGAGAGCTGGCTTCTCACCTAAGTCTCCTTGGTTTAACAAAGTAATCCGAAGTTGGGTTTCTTTGTTGTTGTTGTTTTTGTTTGTTTTTTTGTTTTGTTTTGTTGTGTTTTGTTTTTGCTTTACGACCCTGGCTTTCTATTCTGAGGAGACAATATAAGGCTCAATGTTGCTTTTCTTGGTTCTTCTCATGTATTTCCATTTGTCACCTCTTCTAAGAGCATCTTTTTAAAGGTTTTCCCTTTACTGAAAATTATTTATTATTAAAATTTTGGAAAAAGAATGAGCAAACAAGAAAGCACAAACATTGCCTGTTTGTAAGTAGATGACCACCAGTTTACAAAAATCAAAAATAAGGTTATAATTTTTGCTGTTTTATGAACTGACTTTCACTGAGCAATATAGAGGTAACATCTTTCCGTGTTTAACTATTCTAATTTATAACAACACATTAATACTCTATTGGGTCATAATATTTTAACTACTTCTTTGTTACACATTTAGGTTATTTTCAAGCATTTGCTATTGTGTAGAATGCTGTGACTGTCTTTGTAGTTAACTTTCAGCACACTCATCACTGTTTCCTTAGGATAATTCTGAGAAGCAGAACTGATAAGATGGTTGGTATCTGTATTCTTAAAGCCTATAACACATTTTGCCAGATTGCCATCCAGGGAGGTTCTATATATGTATTTGCTCCCCCTTTCCCACATTGATTCCTATTGTTCTAACTTTTTTTTTAGTTGTATTAATCTTTATTCTATTTTTGTTTCTTTAATTTTTCCTGATGTTCTATACTTTTTGTTCTGTATTCAGCCATTTTTATTTTGTCCTTGTTTAACTACCTGTTCATCATATTTGCCCAGTGTTTTAATGGATGTTCATGGTTTTTTTTTAACAACATGGAAGAGCTCTTTCTCTATTACTACCCACAGCCTTTTTCATGACCAGAAAAGTGAAAGTTACATGGATACCTTGATCCGACGTCTGCAGCTGTATTCTCGAAACCTGGAACATCTGGTGGAGGAAAGGACACAGCTGTACAAGGCCGAGCGGGACAGAGCGGACAGACTTAACTTTATGTTGCTCCCAAGGTGAGGCAAGTCGAACTGCTGATGCGGTTTCCCACGACAACGCAGCCACGCCTCATACTCAATGCTGAAAGCTTGAGCATATTTGTCTAGCACTGTTTTGCTTTGTATCTCTTTAGGATTGCTCCCTTTTGCATATTCTCTAACAGATTTGAGTTTAAAAATGCATGGACCTTGCTAAATCTTGTCCTGGTTTACACTCTTAATACCTTAAAAAAAAAAAAAAAAAAAAAAGGTTATTTTCAAGTGGCCATGGGGTGCCCCAGAAGAAGTGCGGACTGTGGAATTGGAAGGACCCGGGTTAAGACTTTAGGCAAGTCACTGTCTCTCTTCAGTCTCAAAATGGAAATTAGTTTTCTTATGGAATCTATGAGCTATGAGACATTTTCAGGCAAAGTGCTAGTTTCTTTGCTTTCTTCTTTCTACCTCGAAGTAGAAGCCAAATTATAAGAAGTAGGAATGTTTTTAGTGGGGGAGGTGAGGCCACACCTCAGACGTCTCACCTCAGAGGCGTGTATAGGCTGATCCCCATTTGTGAAACAATATAATAAACATGACAGAGAGAAAGGAAGTAAGGTTGAAATCCCCAAATAGTTTAAAGTTTTAAGTGTTGGTACTCAGGTAATAACTAAGGAATGTTAAAAATAAGCAACTAAAAATGTGAAGAGTTAGGAAACAGTCATTGGCCAAGGCACCCACAACTCTCACAGCGAGAAGTAATGTCCTCTTCTTGTTGAAATATGATAAAATGGCCTATTAGATTAAGGCTAATGGCAGCAGTCTCGCACTGGGCGATATCAGCAATGGAGATCAGCCAGGCTTGCCGGCAAATCAGGGTCCCACTACCTACTACGGATGCGGGATCCTGGCAAGTTACCTACATACTCCAACCTCAGTTACCCACGTACCTCACAGGCTGGTTCAAAAAATGTTCTGAAATAATGGGCAGGATTTAAAGTCCTTATTCAGCACAGTGCCCAGAATGTCCATCCTTGTTACTCTTATATATAATATGTATGACCTTTAGATAGAACTTGTATTAGTTATTATTTTATTTTGAACGGATACTTAATTTAGAATATCAGTTCTACATTAGTAAAGGATGATTTTGAGATTGTAGAAGCTATTTTCTAAATAAAGAAATAGTTTGTCTCCTACAAGCTCGAGTGAAGGGGTTAGAGTTACACACATGCTCTTTTCAGTCTCCTGGACCTCAAGAGAGCCTAATATAGAATCCACATGCCCTCAGAGAGCCAAGGGACAGCCTAGCAGTGGCACCTTGGAACAGGCTGGAACTCTATTAGGCAATTCCTGTCAGCGCTCCATAAATGTTAGTTACATAATACATAATTCCTTGCCTGACCTTTGATGCTGAGTTGTGATAAAAACTATATCCTGATTATCTGGCTACCTTTCCAGGGTGTCATCATCCATGGTTTTAACCAAGAATGTTACTCAAATGATTTCAAACAACTGGCTCACCACCTTGGATTTTTTTCTTCCCTTTTTTCTGGACTAGTAGGTGGTAGAAAACAAACAACAACTAGAAGAATCAAAAAGAAATATTTACAGCAAAATTATTAATAAACTTAAGACTGCATGTAGGAACCAGACACTATTGTACTTAAACACTTGCTTGAACAAACAGTTCCCCTTGGGGTTGTTTTTAAACAGGTTAAGGGAGCAGTTTTTCTCTTTGGGAAGCCCTTCTAAGACATATACTCTGTGCACTAATTTTATCTGCGTCGGCAACAACCTGTTATGAAAACCCACCATGTGAAGTCATGGCCCCTTCATGTACCTACCAACATTAGTGTCTCTCTATATTCCAAGCTCATGAGACTTTTCAGGTATAATCAGTAAAATGAAGGGTAAAGATAGTGAAATATTCCATTTTGTCATAACTAGGTAGCCTCCAAAATAATCTGCACCCTTATATTGCCCATGTCAAGAAGCTCCACCCCGGAAATGTCCCTGTTGATTCAACAACCATGCCAAAGGAATGCTTTTCAAAGGCCCCAAGTGCCGTTGCTGCACCAGTTAAACAACGTCTTCCCTTCAAGCTCTAGAGGTTCTCTAAGTAACTTTTGTGGTTGATTGGATGTTTTCTGAGAGAGTGCCGGACATTCCCCCTGGGCCACAGTCAGCACACCGCCCCATCTTACCCACCTCCCCGACTGTCATCCCAGGCCTGGGTCATTGGGGTGCAGGGGAGTGCTCTGCGAGAAAAAAACTGAAGGGTGGGATGTTGCTGAGTTCTAGGCCTAGCTCAGCTTTGGGTGGCTGTGGGACCTTGTGAAAGTCATACTTTTCTTTAAGCCTCAGCTTTCTGATCCATATAAATAAGGGATCTATTCTCAGTGGCCTCTATGGAACCTCCCAGCTTCCAGGTTCTGATTCTAGTGGCTCCACATTCAGATCCTTCGCAAAGCGATTCCAAGGGCAGATCGGCGAACCTCGGTTCGTGTTGGGGTTGGGGTAGGGGTAAACGAAAAGGCAACTTGGCACCTAAAAGGATATGAAGTCCCTTCTGGTGGTTCTTTCTCTTAATTCTGCGTCTGATATACTGCTCTTTGTATCTCTTCAACAAAGATATTCTAAGTTGCTTCTATTTGACTTCTTTGGTGTTAGCATAATTTTAACTTGTTTACATAGTAATTGACTTTGCTCTCTAAAGGACCCAAATCTGGTTCAAAATATATTTTAAAAAATTCTTGTTCATCCTATATCAAAATTAATTTTAAATGAATATTCCTTCATAGTGAAAACAAACAGTGCCATATTAAATATATAAGAAAGGTAAAACCATTGACTTGAATGAGAAAGCTCTGATAGCTATAGTCATTCAAATGCCTATATTAATTACACTCTCTTCAGCTTCTGGATATAGAGATGTAGCTAAAAGAAACTATGGATAGAGAGGTAGAGGTGGCAAGCATGTATATGTATTATGGTTACATAACATTAGAATTATGTATATGTGTATTAGGTTCAACAGTCAAGTACTAAATTAATGCTGAACCTGCTCAAAATCATCTGAGTTCAAATATATGTATTATATGTGTTGTGTATGTATGTAATATGTATATGGTATATGCAATTTATCTTTGCTTCCCAGACACCCAGTTCCCAAATTCTAGAATCCCTGGTGGACAATTACTACTGTCTCAAAGACTTATGTAAGAGAAGAAAAAATTTACTGAAGTTGATGGCCTTTTTTTTCCCTTCTGTCTAGGCTAGTGGTAAAATCTCTGAAGGAGAAAGGCATTGTGGAACCTGAACTATATGAAGAAGTTACAATCTACTTCAGTGACATTGTAGGTTTCACCACTATCTGCAAATACAGCACGCCCATGGAAGTGGTAGACATGCTGAATGACATCTATAAGAGTTTTGACCACATTCTCGACCACCATGACGTGTACAAGGTAACCACTTCTTCCTAACAGGTTGAGATCATTGTATGGCCCCCAGTCAGCACGGCCAGAATTCATTGTTCCTAATATTTCTCAGGTCTTGTACTTTCTAATTTATGATTTAATGAATCAGTAGTTGAATCTGAGCTAAAAGTGAAGGGAAGTGGAAAAATAAGAAGGGCCAAAAGTCAAATGACCATGTGACTTTAAGAATTAGTTTGAAAGAAACAACATAAAGTTCAACAGGAATGAATTTTGGGCACTAAATTTAGAAAAAAATGACATACTTTCAAATCATCTTCAAAAAATGGATAGTGTTTAGGCTGATTACAAGTGGAGCAGAGAAGACACTGGAGTTATAATAAGTAGAATAGGAATATCTTGTTGAAATAGCAAGCATCAGTCAAAGAAGACTAAAGAAGAACAGGGAGAACTTTCTGTAAGGTCAGAACTGGATCTACAATATTACCTGACTAGAATGCTGACCCATTCTAGGCTAATAAGTCTAGAGTTGGAAGAGTAAAGGAGAATTGAAGTCCCACATTTGCATGTTGGAAAAGCAGCACACCATATGGAAAAAGTAACTTTAGAAATAGTTCTCTTCATTCAAATCCCAATTTGCTTCTAGCTAACCATGTAACCTCATAAAATATATTTAATTTTGTCAGGTCTTAGTTTGCCTATCTCTAAAACGGGATGATGATAATACCTACCTTAATGGATCATTGTGAAGATTATTTAGATAAACAATATGCCTGAAACTCTGTATCCTTAAGCAAAGCTTAGAAGTCATTCATCTAACACTCTGTCATAGTGGTTATTTTTCATACAGAAGGTTTCCCTTTTAAGGTTTGTCTTAGCTCAATCCTTACCGTATGTAAGTTAGAAAGTCAGAAAGTTAACTAACCAATAAATAGGAACTATGCATATGATTGTGACAATAAAATTAAAAGGGAGGATATTTATCAAAGAATAATGTTTATACATACTCTTAATATAAACTTACTACTTATTATAAGAAAAGTGTAGAGTCACTGTACTTCAAGAATGTGTGTTATATCTCGGAGGAACCTACAATTTTTTTTTTTCCAAATAGTATGTAAAAAATGGTAAGTGCTGAAAATGACTTTTCTGGTAATTAAAGGTATTCCTAAAATTACATAAAACTATTCAGATTATTGAAATAGTTAAATATTCATAGAACTGTCAACACATCTGGATGATTTACATTATGATGATATACTTGCATATCATGATAATCATTTATAGCTGTTTATCATCCATATTACTAGACTATAAAAACCCTGAAGAAATTAGCATAGAACTGGTCCCAGAAAAAGTGTACAGGGCTATGCTCATACTGAGTTCTCTTTTGTATTTGATATATGATTAACTGCTTCTGCTTAATTTCTTGTGCTTTTTGAAGGGGCAGATTCACTGATGAGAAACTGTTTCCACAGGTGGAAACCATTGGTGATGCCTACATGGTAGCTAGTGGTTTGCCTAAGAGAAACGGCAATCGGCACGCAGTAGACATTGCCAAGATGGCTTTAGATATTCTCAGCTTTGTGGGAACCTTTGAGCTGGAACATCTTCCGGGCCTCCCAATATGGATTCGTATTGGAGTTCACTCTGGTATGGAGTTGAGTATTGTAGCAAATAGAAACCATATGTATCTCTGCGCACCAAAACAATCAGAAAGGATAGTCTTCCAATGTTATCAGTTTTCACATGAGGTTTACTCTTGACTCTGTCGGCCAAAATGAGATCCCATTACACATCCTGACATAATGAGACCCATTCTTATTCTAGGAATCACTATTCTAGGAAACAGCACCTTTGATTCCTGGAATGATAAACACAAACCACATACTGAAATAACAAGCTTCAGATTTCCTGTTTACGTTGCTGTATTTACTGTTACCTCTCTCTCCTCCCCTTTCTCTCCCTCTCCTCCACCCCCAACTTCTTTTCTTTTTTTCCCCACTAAAATATTATGGTATTTTAAATGGATTAGATTATCTATAGAGGGGAAATGGCTGGTTGATTTCCTATGATAAAAGGGCATTTACACCCCAGCTCACCCCCCTCATTGGTACACAAAGTACATAAGCTGCTTCAAAAACCAGGAAAGTTACTCAGCTTTGAATATAAAGATTTGAGAAGATGAGTTACAGTTGTTATAGAAAAACATAGTTGGAGAGGAACTCAGAAACCATCTAAATTAATCCTTTGCAGAACAGAAATTATCTTCACAGTTTCGAAATAATAACAGCCACTTTCAGAAAAATTTCAGGATTTCCTGAAAACTCAGTTCCCAAAGCCAACTCATAATTAAATAGTTGTAACCATTAGACAGCCTTTCCCTGTGTTATATTAAATCATATCTTGCTATAATTTCTTGGTGTTGCTCCTGTTTCTGCCTTTCAAGCCTCGCAGAAGAGCCAGAGTATAGAAAACCCCAGGAGATCACCCCAGGCACTGTGGCAAGACCAGGCAACTGCATTTACAAAAGTCACCCTGTATCCACTGGGCCTATCCCAAAGCCTGACAGTGAATATTTATTGATTAAGAAATCAGTGCAGTTCTCAAAGTGACAGTAGATAGAAGTTAAAAACTGTTGCCATGCCTTTCACCACCAGGAACTTAGCTGTGGCTTCCGCAGTCATGTCCACAGCCAAATGCCACAGGTGTTTCCATGCACACATGAGGGAACTGCCTGGGCATCTTGCTAGCCAGCAAGAGCATGCTGTCTGTTTTCTGACCCACTGCAAATTGCAAGAGAAAGGGGCTGCAACAGGTCTGCCTGAATGAACCAAGTCAGAGCGAATGGAGCTCTGGGTCCTGGCACTGTGGCCTTGGCCTGTTCAGTGTCTGAGCAGACCCCCACGGGCCACAGTGCTACCATATGAGGCTGGAATGAGAATACGCATTAGGTACACATACCTCATATCTCTTATTATTATCCTAGGGTTTCACCCTGAGAAATTAAAAGGTTGAAGTTAAATAGTGATAGCTGAAAACATCATATCTGCATAGTTGTAGATATAATATCTGCAGGGATTTTCCACTTGTAGGCCCTTCCCAGCTTTATCACTCATTTTTGAAATGAAGGGTCATTGGTGATTAGACTGAAGCTACAGATCGGAGATCCTCTGATCAAGTAGCTGCCTGTACTGCACCTTCCCTGCTGAAAGTTTATTTTTTTTCTTCATTTGTTTGCTTTTTTTTTTGCAGGGAGGGAGGGGGATATTACTTTGTATCAAACCTAACAGGGAAAAGCTCAGCACTTAGGGGAAGATCCAGTATCTTGATTTTTATTTCAATGTTCATAAACGTAGTGTACTTACAGGATAAATTTATAAACAAACTCAATTCATATAGATCAAAATCCAACTAGAAATCAGCCAAACTAGGAAATCAATAGTTACCTCTACCCAGAACCTAGTTTTCAGTTTGAGTTAATCTTTAACTTCTAAAATCTTTGACTCTTTGCATTCAATTGTTCCACACAAATACATGATTAAACAACCCTTCTTCCCAACCACAGTGCACAGTCTTGCCTTGGCTTTGTTCTCCTTAGAATGTTCTTGTGCCCCTCACCCATTCTACTGCATTCACCTGGCACATGAGGTGCTCAGAGATTATACCAAATCCTTGTCTTCTGGGTCTTTTGTCATCGTGCTATTAATCCCAGAAATGCTCCCCTACTGAATAAAAATAAAATAAGACAAACTTGGGCCACTGAGCCTTCAAGTGTAGTGTGCCCTCCAGCAGTTCAGAACCCCAGGCTATATGGCTGAGCCCAGTAGGCAAGGAATGGGATCATTTCCATTCCTCCTGACAGCTTCTGTTTCAAATATTAAGAATGACTTCTGACTTTTCAGCCTGGATCCCTGATGCCTTCTTGTTTTATGCAAATGTACTTTTCTGTGCTGGGGAAAATACTTTCCCAAAGCATGCATTGAATAATGACACTTCCCTCATTGGATACATTCATTTAAAGCAAAAATCAAAACTCACCCTTCACACCCTCAGACACTGCTCCCTAAAATGAAGCATTCAGCACTGTGACCCCGAGAGGGGTCTGAACCACCTTACCAGCACGCTGTGACTTTCATTGCCTCTGCTTCCCGCTTTCTGCCTTTTCCAGGTCCCTGTGCCGCTGGAGTTGTGGGGATCAAGATGCCTCGTTATTGTTTATTTGGCGATACTGTCAACACAGCCTCTAGGATGGAGTCCACTGGCCTCCGTAAGAAGGGAGATTGTTTTACTTAAAGGAGAGAGAGTCTGTCTTCTAGCAGAAGGGAATAAGGGGGTGAAATGCATAGTATGCGCCAGTGAGACGAGGAAGGACCCTTCGTCGCATTGACTCACATGAGCCTGTGTCATTCCAGTCCTTGCTACATTTCCTTTTGTTGTGGCTGTTTACCAATAACTATTCCCGTTAGGCTCAGTTTTATTGCTTCTATTAGTCTGAATTCATTTGCAATGCACCCAGGCATGCTCTACCTGGAATAGTCATGAAATTTAGCATAGATCCATGTAAGTTAAAAAAAATCAGTAGGCTAGGTATGGAGTATACAACCCGGTTCACTCTCCTAGTCCTCTTTTATTCGGTTTTCCTGGGAATTGGTTTTAGTAAAGAAAACATATAAGTATTTGTTATATGCAAGAACCTATATGGCATTTGCCTTGGCAAGGTAGAGGTACCATGTGTTACATGTAGTAGATGCTCCATAAATATTGACGACAGTGATAGTAATAGAAATACACACACAAGAGAATGAAAGCATTGGTAGATGTGGACAGCAATTACAAAAACACAGGTGTTAAAACAGTATTTTTCAGTTTACTGACAACCTGATACTAGTTTATACTGGGAAATCATGATATATAAAGGAGAAAATTGGGTTGGGGCCAAAGAGACTTGGATTAAAATGATAACGATGCAAATCACCGTAGGGGTAGGCTAGGGAGGAAGATACCTCATCTTTCTAGGCATCAGAAATTTGAAGATATAAATTGAGAATGAGATACCAATCTTGCTGGAGGGTTTCTGGAAGGATTTGAGATGATACATGTTAAGCATTTAGCAATCCTTTGACACATGGTAGACATACAGTATGGAGATGCCATTATTCTTACTATTGTCATTGTCTGGAACGCCCATACTGGGAAAGGTGATACACAGAAATGGACTTATGAATAGAAATATATCCTCACCACTAATACGTCAGGAAGATAAAAGTATCCCAGAGGAGTAAAATGTGTGAAAATCGAGATCCTGTAACTGTTCCCTGAATCTTTACCTTGTCGCCAACACTTAGGCTGCTTACTGGAACTTTTACATGGGGACCCACTCTCAAATCCAGCACCACCAGCTAAATCTAAAAACAGGCCCTGGGGCTACCACTCTGAGCTGGAGTAAGAACCTATGGAGCACATCCTGGGGAGCCCCATCACTCAGGACCCCAAAAAACAAGGCCAGGCATTTTTTATTCCCATGCGTGATAATATTTCTTATCTCCCTGAATGTACTTTTAAGTGTTTTTTCACTAAAATATCTAAGCTAGCAAGAATACCTGAAAAAAATGTCCTGAATCAAGGAAAGACAAGTGTGGTCATGTAAGAGATTTCAAAATGGGCAAGAGTTTCATTGATCTATTTTGCTTTTCCAGCCTTGAGAATTCACGTGAGTGGCTCCACCATAGCCATCCTTAAGAGAACTGATTGCCAGTTCTTGTATGAAGTACGAGGAGAAACATACCTAAAGGTAAGGGACCCACAGAGAAAGTACCCAGGAAAACCACTGAGAGACACGTGGGCCACCTCTTTTGAGACTGGACACTCAATGGTAGTAATGTTGAGGAGCATGAGATGAAGAACCCTTTTCTGTAGTCCCTGCATTGATCACCTACTATCCCCACGATGACCACCCACTATCCCAAGCAGAAGAAGCCACCACCAAAGAATGTAAACTCGCTTTCCTTTACTTCAAAGAGCCCTGTGGGCATTTTAAACTATGACCGTGTTATAAAATGTTGCCACCATTTTTCCCACATGTACTCAAGCTTTGTCCCCAATTCCTCCTCCATACCCAAGAGCTATAGTCTGGTCCAAGACTAAATTAACTTAAGTCAAAATCCCCATCTTCTTTTGTCCTTGCTCTTACTGCAAGATGTGGCCTCTCTCTAAGGCCACCTCTCTGGCCAGGGCTCTATCATTCTGAAGCTCTGGACAAGAGAATCGCAAGGTGTGGCCCCAGACTTCTGACTCAGCATCACCTGGTACTTGTCCAAAGGCAGAGGCCTGGACTTCCCACCAGGCTTACTGAGCAAGACTATCTGTGGGTATAAACCAGGAATAAATGCCACCTGGGCATGCGCCCTGACTGGAGATTGAACCCGAGACCTTCTGGTGTATGGATGACACCCCACCCAACCAAGCCACCCAGCCAGGGCCACAAGGAATCTATATTTGTAACAAGTGTTCTAAGTGATTGTGACGTACGCTGAAGTTTGAGAATCACTGCTGTAGGCTCTCCATGCTGCTCACCCACTTTCAGAACAGCTGCCCTCCAAAGCCACCAATACTTGCCTTTACTTGGCTCACAGGCTGCTTTTTTGAAAGTCATGACAATCTTTTCACAATTTTTCTGAAACCAACTTTTGACGGTACGCTTATCTGTCTCCAGCAGCTTCTATCCTTTACACTGTGACTGCAACTTGGAAAAGCCTCATTTTAGGTGGTAGGGTCCTAATATCATACTTACTTTTTGAACCCTCCATAAATACATTTCCTGCACAGAGCATTTCTCCCCAAATAGAAAAGGTCTGTGGATCACTACAGTTCAAACACGGCCCAAAAGCCCACTAATTTTAAAGATGACACTCCTTTTCAAATACCAGCTCTAGCGAAAATGTATTACCAGTAATTTTCCATTCATTTTACATCCTCCAAACGAGCCCCAGAAAAGTCACTTGAGAAGTGTTTATTACAATGCACATGTGTTTACAATTTACACACTTAAGGTGGGGAAACTGGCAAAACTTTTGTGGCAAAAAGAGCTAGAAGAAAATATAGACAATGAAAACCGGTTGGATTTGTTGGCATAACAGGACAGTAGATAAATTTTCTTCCTTTTTAATTTAGAATTCTTGTGATGTTGCTGTTGTGATATTTTGAAGTGTCTTTTGGGGGAGAAGAAAACTCTACTTTTTTAAAGAAAAAAAAAAGACATGTCTCGTGATTAAGAGACTTGTATTTAAAAGGCACTTGGAAATAAAAGATCTGTCCAGAGATAATGCAAATCATATCAGGAACTGAAATATAGGTGCGGATGAGAAACTCAGAGGTGAAATGTTTGTCAGAATGGCAGGCTAGAACTGCATGGTCTCCTTGGCCTCCATGGTACATGCCTGTCTTGTCTCACTAGGGAAGAGGAGCCGAGACCACCTACTGGCTGACCGGGATGAAGAACCAGGTGTACAACCTGCCAACCCCTCCTACTGTGTAAGCTGCTGGATGCGGTAGGGATAGGGAGTGGAGGTCTTGGCTTTGTAAGTTGTGCTACATATAGCCAATTTAATTCTTGGCAAGTGCTTTGCCAGTGGCAATGTCATGTTGAATATGAGGACTACACGGGTGAGAAGTTGAGAAACCTCACTTCTCCAGCTGCTAGAAACTGGGTGTTCCAGACATGCCCAGGGGCACAGAGGGCAGCTGGGAGTTCACTTCCTGCATGTCTGGTTCTGATAAGAGTAAAGCATCCTGGAGGCTTTTCAAATACCAGCTCTAGCGAAAATGTATTACCAGTAATTTTCCATACATTTTACATCCTCCAGACGAGCCCCAGAAAAGTCACTTGAGAAGTGTTTATTACAATGCACATGTGTTTACAATTTACACACTTAAGGTGGGGAAACTGGCAAAACTTTTGTGGCAAAAAGAGCTAGAAGAAAATATAGACAATGAGAACCGGTTGGATTTGTTGGCATAACAGGACAGTAGATAAATTTTCTTCCTTTTTAATTTAGAATTCTTGTGATGTTGCAAGAAGCACTCGGCTGGGCCACATGTTGAAAACAGGACTTCCCCCAACCCCAGGCCTTTGGTTCTTGGTCTTCCCATCAATTCTCTGTTCTAAGATGAGGAAGACAAGGTTTCAGGTCTAACTGACAGGTTTCAGTTCACCAAAAGGGCCTCAAAGAGTCATGCAGTTGCACATTGTTTGCTCCAATCAGTCATGTGGCTACAGCTGTGACATTCGCTATGGTAGAGAAACTCTGTCTTGCAGATTCCTAGGTGCTGGACCCAGCCTGTAGAGATGTCAAAACAGCCCAGGTCTTCCCTGGGTCACAGGGAACCTGGCCTCTTACGAGGAGTGCTCCAAGTCCATTCCAAATTCTTGAAACCCTCCATTCATTCTGAATCCTCCCCAGACAAGATCCACAGTCCTAGAAATGCGTGGGACCAACATGTTTTCAGGGCTGTGCTGCCGGAGCCTAGCATTGTTCTGGCATGTTTTCCCCTCTCTGCAGTGCCACATGTAAACTTAACCGCACTTCCAAATTCTAACATTAAGCAAGGCGCTTCACCTTGAGATTGAAATATAATCTTCAGGTTGAAATAGAGTCTGCTTTTTCTAAAACTTCACAGAGCAGGATGACACTTCCTTAACTAATCCAAGCAAGGCAAAGCTCATTTTCCTGTGTTTAGCACACAAGATATTTCAGTAAGTGTTTGATAAACTGAACTGATTGTTCTGGAGCTAAGAAATATTATGTATGAATTGCTGAGAAGTTCCATTTTCCCTTCCCACTCACTTTTCAGGGAGAATCAACAACGCTTGCAAGCCGAATTTTCAGACATGATTGCCAACTCTTTGCAGAAAAGGCAGGCTGCGGGGATAAGACACCGAAAACCCACACGGGTAGCCAGCTACAAAAAAGGCACTCTGGAATATCTGCAACTGAACACAACAGACAGAGAGAGCACCAATTTCTAAACCTAAGTGAGGGCCAAGGACTCAGGCAAAGGAAGCACAGATGATCTTAGGCAGCGGCCTCAAGGGTCCCAAAAGCCTCCATTTCCCTGAAGCCTCAGGGGAACAGAAGACTCAGGTGCATTCCACTGAGCCTTGGTTGCCTCGTTTGGAACATTTTTGGAGAATCTTCTGGAACATTCTAGAAAAGTAAATTACCTTTTTCTCTGGAGCTTGATCTCAACAGTTGCTCCAGGGAGATTCAACCGGGGAAAGAGGAAGAATGAATGTACTATCTCAAAGTTGAGATTTTGTTCTCATTTCATTTGTTTTTCTTTTGTTGTTTACTGGCTCTTTTTCCTTCTATATTCGTGATAGGATTTTTTTAATTGTCACAATTATATTTTAAGTATCTTATCTCCATTAAATTATATTTAACTCATAATTTTTGCATAAAATATGCTATATATTAGTCAGGAATAAAAGTTAAAAGTTAACCGAGTCTGTGTATGTGTTTTCACCTATTCCTCCCATTTTTTCTGACATGAACCAGCCCCATCTTGCACTCTCTAAAAAGCTGACTAAATGCGGCAGCCCTGAAGCAGGGCAAAGCTAGCACTGTCGCTCAGGGCTTCCCACCTTTACACTCAGCATCGCCTGCATCACTTGAGGAGATTGCGTGTCTAGCCCTCTAACGTGGGAGGCAGGGCGTGCAGCCATCGCATGCCTGGGATAAAGTCAAATCCTGCTTAACTATAAAGACATAGTACTTCAAACTTTGAAAATGCCCCTTTCCTGCCTCCCTGCAGCCATCTCCTGACCCTTCTTATGGCACCCCAGCATGACTCACCTGCTTGGAATCTCTGGGGAAATGGCAAAAGCCAACTGCTGTTGAGTAGACTAAAATCAGCAAAGGCAAGACAAACATGTAGCACTTCTGGCGTTAACCTTCAGGACTGAAGCCACTTCACACACGTTCTCTCTCCCCAGGCTGCTGCCATGAAAACCACCCAGAGATTAAGAAACATCGTATGTCTTCTCTGTCACCTGGAAAAGCAGAAAATCAGAAAGTAATAACATAAAGTATGTCCTGATTTACAGGATGAAAACTGAATATTCAGCAAGAGTCCCTCTCTGGAATCTGGAGGTTTAGAATCGACCTGTGCTTCAATGTCTAGCACAGGGAGATTTTCTGCATGAGGATGAGGTTGTGACATGAAAGTTCTTGGTCATTTATTTAGTAAATGTATATCGAGCATCTCTTCTTATTCTAGGAACTGAGCGTGGTGTTGGAATTATAGAAACATGGTCTCTGCTGAGCTTTGAATCTTATAGGTGAGAGAGAAATGTAAGGAGATAAGTGAGTTTGGGGGCTTAGCAACATTCTTGACAACAGGCAAATTTAGCAAAGTTAAAACCAACCAGAAAAACTAAAAATTATCTGTAATGCTAAGGTGCATTGATAAGACTACTTCTCACCTGAAGTCTCTGGTTTGTCTTCTATTATAGAATCTACATGGTTGTGAAAACTTTCTCAGCCTTTAAATAGATGTATGGCTTCTGCTTGTCCACTTAGTAATATGGTTATGTTATATCAGTGATGACAGCAACTAAGAATTGGACCCAAACCCTGGCCAGGTGGCTCAGTTGGTTGGAGCATCATCCTGTACACCAAAAGCTTGCAGGCTTGGCCCCCGGTTAGGGCACATAGGGAGGAAACAATCAGTCTCTCTCTCTCTCTCTCTCTCTCTCTCCCTCTCTCTCTCTACCCCCCCCCTGCCCCACACTCCCCCTTTCTCTATCTCTAAAATCAATAAACATATATTCAGGTGAGGATTTAAAAAAAAAAAAAAGAAAGGGACCCAAGCAAGTGTCAAATTCCTGCACTGTTCTTTTCTAACTTTGAATTAATTATTTAATGTTTCTATGCTACTAATGTTTCATTAATAAGCCATGAAGCATAACATCCACCAGAAGGACTTGTTACAAAGCTTTTTTTTAATTGAAGTTTGTCAAGCACTAAACACAGTGTTAGTCACATAGTAAGTTCTCAAAAAATAACCTCTACCTTAGTCTTTTTCCCTCTTTCTACTTGTTTTATCAGAATTTTAAAATCTTGGGAAAGTGGTAGCAGGAAAATGGAGACAATTGTACTTGAACAATAAAAAAAAATTTTTTTTAAAGAATTAAAAAAATCTCAAACCCAGGACTTCATAGGCACAAAATATACATGATTTATATTTAACAGTTGATTATGAAATTTTTCAAATGTACACAAACATAGAAGGAATATAGCTAATGAAACTCTATATAGTCATCATCAGTTTCAAGAATTATCAAAAATAAAAAAATGTGAAAAATAAATTCATATTTATTTACAGGGATAAAGATTCAGGCATTGGCAACAAAGAAGCAGCAACATGATTGCTCTGTGGCGACCCACCGTAATCGATCCATGCAAAGCCTTCCGGCCCTCTCCAAGTGTGCCATCTCACAGCATTTTGATATGTTCACTGACTTGGAAGACCTCAAGAGCCCGCTGTTTGGGGATTTTTGTGGAGGTCACATTGTTTAGCCACGACTGATTAAATCATTAGCTATTGGTCTAATACCCCGCCCCTCTGACCTCCCCAGAGTTAGGGGAGGGACAGGTCCAAAAGTTTCATAGCTGTTTTTTCTGGCAACTAACTTGCATCCTGAAGCTATATAGAGGCCTCTAGCCTGGGTCTTCTCATTAGCATACAAAAGACACTCATCACTCAGGAAATTCTCAGAGTTTTAGGAGCTCTGTACCAGGAACAGTGGAAAGACCAAGAATATTTTTATTATACTACAGTCAAGCTTGCTGAGTGTGAACATGTTATGGAACAGGTTTGGGTCCCGCTACCTGATGCCACCCTCTCGGCAAAATTCTGGGGGCAAAGTTTTGGTGGTAGGAGAAAGGAGTCTTTATTCAAAAGCTACACAATTTTGGAATAACAACTCTCCACATGAATTAGTCACTGAAGCCTATCAATTAAGGCTAAACTCTTTAGCTCCTAAGTCCCCTCATCATTCCCCTTGTTACTATAGTTTTTAATTATCTTATTTCTATAGGATTAGTTTAAAAACTAAAACAACATAAAATGCAGAAGCTACACAACTTTGGAAGAATAGCAGGCTTCTGCCCCAGAGTGCGTTTCTCCTGGAACACCCAAAGAATAACCCTGCCATCATCTGCCAGGCCAGCCCGATCCTAGGCTGCACCTGGAGTTTCCTCTCCCATCCAAAATCCATCCAAAATCCATCCAAAGTATTGTCCTTTGGGAAACACAGGCAGCTGCAGCACCATCATCCAGGCATCCTTAAAGAAGAGAGCCTGAAAGCCAGTCCCTGCCTTCCTTTTATTTTAAATCTTCTAGCCCATAATTCTATAATTCTACATGATCTGGAGGCTTTCAGCTTCCCAGCCAATCCCGTCCTAGACTGTTTATCATTGCCTCAGCAACCTCCTCCTACAGCCCCTCCCTTCTCCTCCCCAGTGATCTGATCAGATATCTGTACCAGGCAGGTTGAGAATAGAATGAGGAGCCAACTTGCAGCTCCCAGAAACTGCTGTCTTAATTATGATGCTCAATTGAAGGCAGCTATTGTTATTAGTGAAACACTCTATACTTATTATTTATGATTGGTGTTTATTGGGTACTGCACTTACTTCTAGGGCTGTGTTTGGTGAGCTCTTCTCAGTCTATCAATTACCAGTTTTGTGTCTGTACTTGCCCTTGTGTTTCTTGTGAATGCAAGATGCCCTTCAGCAATAGTCATTAAGAAACCTAGAAAAAAAGGTATTATTATATAGGGGAGGAAAAAAGACCCACCCTCAAGGTTCTCTGGCTGATCTAATCAAATAAACATGAGACAGATTAGCAAGAATATAACCAAATTTAACACGTACATATGTATGAGAACCCCATATACACGAGTCTAAGATCCCAGATGCACAAGAGGTTCAGAGATAGGAAAGGAACATGAGTATTGACTAAAGAAGCTCCAGCTCAAGAAAATGTTTTGTAAGAAAGACTTTATTCGAGCTAAAATGAGGACAATTTCTGGGAAGCAAAATCTCAATGGACTGAAAAAATATTCCTGAAGAAGTGCAGTTTTGCATCTTATTTTATGCCTTATAATCAAAACAGGAGAACTAAGGTGATTGCAGAAAAGTCAGTGGTGGTCGATTAGGGAGGCGGAAGAACACAAAGCAGGGAAATCACAAGCTGGATAAAAAGTGAAACGGAGAGACAGGCTTTTTTTTGCCTTGGTGGGCACAGCCTTTAGAAATGGTATGTGGGTAACAGATAACAATGTGATCTGTGTTCTGGTGTCTGGAACTGAGCCTAGAACATGACTATCTACCATGACCCACTCTTAGTGAGGAATGTTTACATTCAGACCACGCTGTGTGGTAACTTTGGTCTCTGGGCTTGTAAAGCCCACCATGTGATCTGAGCTTACCAGGTTTGGCATGTGGCCCCTTTTTTGTCCACATGAGTATAAGATATCCTGAGCTAGGGATTAGGTAATGTGGCTTGGGGGCTTCAAAGGATCATTGCAAGATGAAGAAGGACAGGTGCTTAGTAAACTAGAAGTTTATCCTGCCCTACAAATAGGACAAAAGAGGTTATCTCTGATAATTTCTTATTATAGGCAAAGCCTCTAACTGAAATGCTTCTAGGTAGTGATGGAGGAGAGATTTTTTGAGCCCGAGGCTAAAACTGCCTTTAGCTCAAGAAAATCTACGTACCACAGAGTCACATCTTGGGATGACATGCTCTGAACCTCCATTAATGACTTAAAGGTCCTGGAAATTACATGGCATGCCGGGACCACACAGCAAGGTCACGGGAAGGTGGGGCAGAGGAGACAGGAAGAGAAAACAGGGAACTGATCCCTGGGGTTCTGCTTTTGTTGAGGTCAAATGTGTGGCCCTAGGGTTTCACTCTATTGGTGAAAGTAAGACCTAAGAGCAGGAGTTTAAAGCACAACAAGAGAACAAGAAAAAACAAACAAGTGGCCCAAATGGTCCCTTCTAAAAATCAATCAAGATCTCTGAAACAAAGGAGCATGCACCTTACCCTGCCCCCAACCTGCCTAGTGACATGGCTCTTAATCTAGTCCAGTGAGAGCTAGAGCCCTCGTTGCTGTAAATGCCTCTTCTTTGAAATGGATGCTTCAGCAATAAAGCTTGGATTACAGAAAAGAAATGGTGAAAAAAAAAAACCTGTCAGGGCT